CTGGGATGACCATTAAGGAAAAACCATTTTACTTATGATATTCTAACTTACTGAAAAGTTTCATAGGACTGAAGTGTAGCTTGTGTTGGAAATCAGTGTGATTGTTTTCTGTTTTGGAAGCAATGCAGCTCTATGGAGTGCTATATGGCTACTGTTTATGGATGGTGGTAATTGTCCCTTGGGATAATCACTAGCTAAATTCAGAGCTATAAAATTACTTGCCTAATTGATTTTCAAGTGCCCATTAAATAAGATTACATAAAACACACGTTGAGATTTCCCATTCAAGTCCTATAGGTTAAGCTCTCTTAACTGTGTCACATAATTAGGAATTGGTGATAATTATGCAGGTAAATGTTGTTTAATATTGCAAATAAGTTTACAAAAGAAAAAAAAAAAATTTGTAATGCCAACATTAATGCTATAGATGAATAACAGTGCCTTATTATCCTCAAACACATTGGGATTATTCATATCATGTTAATACAGCAAGATTAGAAGTTTGAATAGCAGCTTTATTGGATTTTTTTTTTTTTTTGTGTTTTCTTTTTAATTTTTTTCTAAACACTGGCATTTTCAACTCCCATCCACCTGAAGCTCTTCAGATTTTCTGTATTTCCACATAAGCAGTTGCATAGGTTTTTATGTCTTTAAACATTATGTAATATTATTTTATGCACTGTCAACATTTTCAAATATTGGGATTTTCATTATGTGAATATGAACTCTCATAGTCCAGAAACTGTAATCTTATTGCAGGGATGGATTGAGGCCGTCTTCTGGGTCTTTCAGATGACGGTCAGATTTTAAAGTTTACATTAACTGGTATCAAATTTTTTTCTGTTGGAAGACCATCAAAAGTGTAGGATGGATCAACAAAGATACTTTGGAATACTGTCAGAAAATATCTCTGGATCTGCTCCTGTTATTGACCATGTTACCCGTTGTGCATGATTAAAAATCAGTGTTAACTGACTGTGTTATTATAAGCATTATTTATTATTGCATCAAAATTGACAAAATGACCTATTTTGCATCTTTATTTTCTGTTTTTTTGTCTGTACATTTGACAGCTTTGCTGCCTTGTTATCAGATATTACCAGTATGATGTTATTTTCAAAAATGTGATTATTCCTTTTTGTTTGAATATAGTGGGAAATTACGGTACATGTATCACTTTGTGCATTATTCCACCTGGGGTTATATCCGTTCAATATTCCATTAATACATGGCACCTCTAGTAATATTGCATGTCAAGATTTCTTCTGTTTCTTTGGGCCTGTAGCCAGTTATTTCAAAAGAGGGGGGGGGGGGGGCTCTTTTTCTGAACAAGTGGACCTTTTACCATGAAACCTTTGTGTACCAAGATCAATTTTAATTCAGAGGGGACCTTTTCCCACCAAAAAGCAGTTTGTTTGAACCCCCACCCCCACCCCCACCCCAGCTTGGGGCCTGTTCTTTCACATTGGCAAGAATTAAACTGCTGCTGGTGTGTTGATTACTGTGAATTTGAATCAGATGAATCATGAAAACAGCTTATAGAATGATACAGGCACCAGCTCACCTGTAAGGAACGGAGGCTAGATTTCATATTTACTTTCACGTCAAGATATGTATTATTTCAATTTCAATTGATGGTTTATACAAAATTGTCATAGATATAATTTAGTTTTATGGTGATCAGTTGGGCCTCTAATTTAAACATCTGGTCCATTTAGAGTGCACAATTATAATTTATACAAATGTAATTTTTCACCTTATTTTGTCACAGAGGCCGTCTCCAGCGTGTTGCTTCCCAGTTCACCCCCTACAGCTGGATGGACTTCGATTGGAGGCCCACATTCAGCTTGAAGCGATGGTTGGCAATGTTGGGAATCATCATTATGGTGAGACATTTAGAGAAATCAGAACTTTTCATATCAGGCTCATAATAGTTTCATTTTAATAATACACTTAGTCTAGTTTATTTTAGGTTTTAGTGATTTTTCCCAATACAGCAGCCCATAATGCTGCCTTTTTCTTCTCAAATTTGTATCAAGCAAATATATTAATTTCATTGTTGTAATTTTGTGTGATATTTTTTTAGTCATTCTAAACTATTACTAGTACTATCATGCCTTTTTAGAAACTCAAAATCTTTGGCTCAATAATATTGGTGTAAACAGCATGTAATCTTTTGTAGACCAACTACATGTACCATTTTTGAAATCCATGCCATTAACTATAATTTTTGAATTACTTAATTTTCAGTTTTTGGCTGCAGAACTGAACACATTCTACCTGAAATTTGTGTTGTGGATTCCACCTGAGCACTACTTATGTTTGGGACGTCTGGTGTTCTTCCTGTTTGCAGGGGCTGTTGCTATGAGGGAGGCTTTCCAGTTTCTTGACGACCCGTAAGTCAGCAGGTTTCTGTAGTAATATCTTTCAATGATATTGTAGTTACCTTTGCACGGTTTTGGCTTCATATAAATGTGGACTTTTCATTGTCAGTTATGAAACTTAGCTTATTAGAACTAAAATGATGCTTAGCGGCAGATTTATTGATTGAGTTATGTTAGGCAATTTTTTAAAGAGATTCTGTGTTACTTACCAATGCAGGATGCAAGAAGTGTTTTTGTTAATTAAAGGTCCAATACTAGCATGTATGGCAAACTGAAAGGAAGTATTTTTTTTCTTAAAACTCACAATTTGTCTTTGCAGAAATTGTAAGAAGTTTGGTCGTCAGGCTTGGATGATAGCTGCTATAATTATAACAGAGCTTCTTATAGTGCTCAAGTTTGACTGGCAGACTGTTTCTAAGCCCATTCCATTCCCTGTTGCCTGTTTCTGGATTCTTGGCATTGTGGGATTGTTTGTTTACACAATTTGGAAATTTTACCTCCATCCACATAAAGTTATCGCAAAGAGTCATCAGACCACTAATGGTGATGTTGTTATGAACAATAATGATAGAAAGACGCAGAATAAAGCCGAGGGTGGCAGTAACGGCAGTGTATCCAACTCGCCACTCAAACAGCCTCGCTTCCGTGTCAGCAGGGACAGCCAAAATGGCAAAAGTTGAATGAATAGTCACAATTAAACATTGCATGTACATGTATCAGAAGAAAGAAATGTTATTTTGCATATCACAAACCATGCTCAACATTATTTTCATACCAGCTAAATAATCTCTTTTTATAAAGAATCATCGATTATTTCCATCGTTTCAAAATCCAGTGTCAGCCATGTGAGATGTTTGCTAAGATATTTAGCAGATATTCTGCACAAATTGCTCCAAAGATGATTGTTTTACAATTGCATATTATAGGGAATATTTAGCTACTTGTTTATATTGTACGTACCAGATTGCCAAAGTTATTTTGTATACTTGTACATGGCCTGTTGTGAGACAACATGATTATATAGATTTGGATTATGGTTTTATAAAAGGGAGGGTAAAAAAGGAAAAATGTTGCATATGCTTTAATGAAAAATGTATATAGTGTAGGTGCTTTTTTGCTATTGTTGTTAGAATGCTTTGTATTAATGGCTATACAATCTATTTTAGAGAATCATGTATGTCACATTGGGGGAATGCTTGTCATATTTTACAGATTGGTCTTTTGTGTAATTAGTAAAATGTCAATGACGATTCTGTATGCTGAACAAGAAGAATTTAATTTTGGCAGTAGTATAGAAGGCTAATATTAAAGTCAGAATAAAATATACATTGAGAGGTCTCAAAAGAAAAAAAATGGCATTGAATTATGTTGTTTGTTTAAATAGAATTTGTTGATTGAATGGTATTAGATAATAGATAGCAGTATGATTAATAATGCATGAATTGTTTTACTTGACATTGAATATCATAGTTCCCTCTGCTATTGATTACTTGTCCATTTTTACATTTTTTCAATGTAAGAATGGCTGCTTTTATGATATTGACTATGATATGCTGGCTGTTTTATGATATTGCATTTTGGATTGGCTTATATGTTGATTTTGCAAGGGAAATATTTAAAGCTTTGTTTTGCAACCCCGCACTTATTAAATATGCACCAGGTACAGTTAAATGGTAATTTATATAGCATTAAACGTATTTATATTCATGACCCAAATTATACTACTGTCTTACTACTCTGTTGATTGCACAAGACTGGTTTTACTTAGTAAATTTAAGTATGATTTAAGCCTTGATTAACGAAGTGTGTATAGTATTTTAGAGAAAAGATTAATTGGCATACATTCTGTTAGTAGTAATTGTTATATGCTTAAAATGGTCTTTAAATTTTTGTCTATATTCTATACTCTATAAAAGATATGATTAGTAAAAAGTGTTGCTTGCAGAATAGACACAGGATTGTTTATTTTTCAGCTTTGGTTTATAATATTTGTCTTGTTTTTTAATTTGTATAATAATTCACTATGTATACGTATATGTATACGTATGTATACATATATTATGGAGATTTTATACAAATAAGTTCAAATCAAGTATGAGATATCTTTTAATTGGCGGGTTTAAAGCACTGCTTAACTTGGTCACATAACTGAGCATTTCTATGTCAGTGTGAAAGAAACTTTGCAGATGGTTGAGCTGCTTTGCTTATGGCTAAAAAGGTGAATATTTAACCTCAGTTTTGTCTGTTTAATAATTGATTGTGCTGGAAGTTTTGAATATGCAGTATAGAAAATATGACATTGGCTGAAGAAATGATGCCGAGAACACAAGTTTTGGAGTCATGTGCTTTCAAAGGTGGAAAAAGCAGTGTCTGTGTGTGTGTGTGTGTGTGTGTGTGTGTGTGAGAGAGCGAGAGAGAGAGAGTAAAATGGTATATGCACAATCAGGAAGAAAGAAGACTCGGTTCCCAATTAGTCTCAGTAAACAATTGATCACATTCTTTAAATTACATTTTATTGACTATGTATTGGGGTAGTGAAATTATCTATAGATACTCTAACAAGGTATACTAAACTATTGTATTATATTAGATGCTGTTATAGTGCTAATATATATGCCATATGTTATACGAGTTACATTGTGGGGTTATAACATCTATGCACCATACATTATCCTCCTGTATCTATATACATGTGAACTAAGGCAGATGTGGACATATATGATCATGCACTCATTTGCTGATTTTCTACTGTTTTAAATGATCAAAGTCTAATTAAAATATTTTGTACTGTTATATGTTTGAAAGAAATTTATTGGTTTGTCAGTGGTCATTTTATAGGATAAAGAAAATGATTAATTTGTAGATTTTGCCTTTTTATCCAACAACATTCTTCTTAATAAAAAAAGAGTAACTTTTAAAGAAAAGGGCATAAACAGTTTTACAAAATTCCTTTTCTTCTACATCAAATGTGTAACATTTACAGCCAGGTAGGTCAACAATTCCTGGCACAAAAGGGTCGACCAAACTTATGAAATTGATAGATTTTGATTACAGAGATGAGATTAAAACAGAGAATGACTAGTAATAATAATACTGATATATTAATAAACAGGTATAAGTGAGTTAAACAAGGAATGCTCTATAGATAAATAAACCACAAATAAGTGTTCTCATATAATTAATAAGCCTTTGTTTAATGTGTAAAATATTATATGCAGGCCTATACAAAAGTGTCTTACCTTCCAAAATTGTGTGGGGTAGGATTAAACTCTTAGGGGAATTTAATTCAGTTGCAAATACCCCAGCTTAATTGGAATTTTGTGAAGAATTTGGGAAGATAAAAAAGATACCCATGCAGTCAATACCACTCCAGCATATAGCTAATACTTCAGCTAAAAACAAAAAGGCCACATCTCTTAAACCCACCCATGTATGCTCTATAAGAGAGATTAGCTGAGTGTTGATGTTAATTCTATATCAAAATTCTCACTGAACAGATAATAGTGTAAAGAATAAGCTAGAGAGATATCTGTGCATATACAGCATTGGTAAAAAAAATCTCAATTAATCATGTTAGACACTATTTCTAACAATTTACAGCTGTAAGGTGATCATTTGTAAATATAAGTACATGGAAATGGGGGTGGGACAACCTTTTTGACCAATGTTGTATAGTGAAAAAATTGATCAGTGGTAGAGGGTAAACCTACCCAAGTTTTTAGATTACTGTAAATTGACCGTTAGATTGGCGCAGAGGCATATAGACTGAAGGTTAGATTCCAGTACTCTTTCACTGCTCTTTGAATCTTGGGGTGCCTGACGCTTACTCCTTTCCACCCCTAAATAAATTGGGGAAACGGTCAAAGTAACTGATACGTTTAACCAAGGCGACTTGGAAATTAAACACGTGGTCAAAAAAGAGGTCTGACCATGGGCATCATTGCTTAGAAAAAGGGTGCATATTATCAAAACTGTCTGCTTTTGCTACAGCTGTAGCTAGACAACGTCATCATAATTGCCGCTGTTTTCGCTGTCATATGCTATATGGCAGTGACCATATTCTTCTTTCGGCAACGTTAGCTCAGCGGTTTGTTGAAAGGTGTCTGTAACTGCGAGTTCTTTCAATGCGGTTTGTTCACCATTTAGTGGGGGAACCGCGGCCCTGGTAGAGGGTATGGGAGCAATAGGCAGTCCCTGATTGCTACATGAAGGCCTCTCGTAAATGTTTACTTCACCCAGTTCTTCATAGATTTCTTCGCTAGACCAAGCAAGCAAGCTACCTTCACCGAGATTGCCATAGTAACCAGGGCAGGTATACGTTGCTTCATCATAAAGCTCTTCATTGATTGAATCTGGCGACCTTTCCTTGTCCCTCGAACTTCTCTTCCAAACAACGTTGGTCATCCTTTTCTTTGCATTTTTCTTAGTTGGATAAAACGTGGCGACTTTCTAACCATCTTTGCCGTATCTATAAATTCGGCGTACTCGGAACTGACTGGCATAAATGCCTCATTTGCCAACTTTGTTCTGGGTAAATGAAATATTTGGTTTTCGTAAAACGGCTTTTCAATATAATTAGATTTTCTCCTTTCTTGGTCATCTAACGTTCCAACTTCATAAAAGCTATAGATAGCATGGTCTTCCTGGTCTAGATAGTCATTCACGATGTCGTAGTAATTTCGCATCTCTTCGGTCTGTTCAATAGTATCTGCAATCGTGGGTTCTTTCCTTGCAGCTTGATCACCATTTAATGGCAGAGCAATAGGCGTATCACTGTCACTGGCGCTTGGCGTCTCGTTGACTGGGCCACCTAAACGACGCCTCAACACAATGTTCAATGGATCTTCCTCTGGGTTTCTGAATACATGAAAGATAGCAAATTTTAATTAGTTAAAACTACACTGCAATTAGTATACTTTACACACATAATTGTCAGAAAAAAAGGAAAAATGAAAAAAAGATAGCAATATAATGACAAAAGCTTGAGTTAATGTACACCTACTCGGATTCCAAGCATCTACAGATTTGCGGAAACAGTGGTCGGCGAAATGCAGGATCTGAAGTGCACTTTTTGATAAGGGAATACACCCATTCTGGGCAGTCTTCGGGCTGTTGAAGTGTTCTTCTACAGCTGTGTATACCTGAGAGCTGGAAACGGAAGAAAATATGTTATCACTTCTCTGAAATGCCATGTCTGCATTTCTAATGAACTTAAGTAAAATATATAAACTATCATTTATCGAAATAATATAATACCTCGTATAAAGTTCTCTCCTGAAAGAAATTCTTCAAGCTAAATGTTATGTATTGAACTCGATGCACAGTAGATATGATCAAATAAATATCCTGAAATGTAAAAAAGCTGACCAAATATTACCTACGCTTAGTCATTTTTTCTGCCACTTAGCTTGAATATTGTGTTTTACCTTATCTATTGGAATGTGGGCATATGGAACCAAAGCCAAAGGAGATATGTCTGCTGACACAGCGCGAGCATTGAACACCTCCCATATCACAACGGCAAACATATAGACGTCGGACCTCATCGAATAATACGAGTTGTCATTCACTTCTCGAGGTAACCTGCATTAATATAAAAGCTGAATTAAAAAATGTGTTCACTAATGAACAATTGTAAAACTGCAACACTATGCAGATGTTATTTTCAAGTGCAAAATACACATATTTCTTTACCATACGAAGTCTTGTGCATAGTTAAAGTTTGGTCACGGTGAAAGTATTTAATATCTCCTGAAATAAGATAAAATGTTATATTTACCATCGGCTCAAATTTCTAACTTCTCCCAGGAACACTTTCACAGAGACAGAAGTAATGTCATCATGATATGGGTTTTCTACCAGGAGCGTTGTTCTTGACAAGTTGCCAATTTTCACCTGAAAAACAAGAGTTGCGAATTTTCAAATGAAAAACATTAAGGACAACTTTAAAAAAGATTTTAAGCCATTCTAAGCCTTTTATCATATTAATACATCACTGAAAACTAAATAAAACTTTGATTAGCTGTGGAAGTCTTACAATGACTAGAAAATGGTGATGATTTTGGATTGCAAAATCCCGTTCAAATAGGGGATTAATTGAATGAATAAAGAAAAAAATTGGGTAATAAGGGAATCTAAGAAAATGCGATTTCTGTCAAGAAGTTGCTTAATTTACCCTCGGGTCTAAATCAGCGTTTAAATAATAAAAACTGCTAAGGTTTTGAAAAAACTAACTACTTATATACTTTATGTGTAACAATAAATAAATAAATATATAGGCATAGCAAATATTACATTTCTATACACGTTGGTCATGTATATCGTTGAGGCCTGTAATGCACAGTGCACAAGCCGGTTTTCATGTAGGTAGCGCATTCCTCTTGCTACTTGCTGAATATGAAGTATTGTCTTCTCTGTACTTGGTTTTGTTTTATGACAGTAGTCCAGGAGAGACCGTTCTGCTGTGAATTCCATTTCCATGTGTCTCTCGTTTTCACTGTACACAAACCCAAGGAACTGGACAATACTTTCATGTCGCAAGTTGCACAGGGCAGTTTCCTCGGCACCATTGAATTCCTTTATTAGTGAAGAAGTCCACTGTAAAATAATTTCAAAATTAAAACGTAGAACGAGCAAATGTCATTATTTATAACTTTATTAAAATGAGTGGGAATACGAATTACAACTGTATCGTCTTACTCTTATATGAGTGTTTTGTGGCACACAAGACATTGCAATTTCATTAATGAATTCTAAGCATAAAATCTTTTAAATGGATATATGACCAATCCTTTTTCATTACTGAAAGTCAGGGCCCAATCCTAAGAAATAAATTAAATGCGAACTTAATTTTACTTTAGGACACATGAATTTCCACGTTTTGTTGTATTTTTACGATAGGCCTATTTAATTTTCGATTTACAGTGAGACGGGTGTTTCACTTACCACTTTACCCCGTGGGGTTTCCACAATGATTGGCGTATCTCTGCCAGCAAGTTCATCGGGTGTGCATTTGTATTCCTGTGATATGTGAATAAATGATAATTGTGACAAATATCTCAAATACATGCACATTGGCATATTGGAAACGTGCACCTAAGCTACATTTACATTTAATCTATTCGTGAACACAAAATTTCCCACATGATCTTTTATAAGAGTGAATCTGTAATATCCTTGGAAGCAATGCTCAGGGAGGCAGCACGTGCCTTTACTAAGGTAACCGGTGTAACGAAACTAAGGGTCCGTGCAACAGAAAGTCCGCCCTCCATATGGTTATAATGGTTAGGGTTAGTCTGACCTAAGTGGGTCAAAATCTAGGGCGAGGCTCACCTGTACAAATGAATGAGAAGCGGACTCTCTGTTATGGGGGACTCTCTGTCACGTTACACCGGTACTCTTTATTTCATCGAGCTCCAGTTGGTACGCTTTCAACTCATTATCATAATAGTAATAAATTGCAGTATCTTTGAAACATATGTATGAATTGTTAATTTATAATTTTTATCAAAACACTAAAGGAAGCCGGAGAGAAAGGATTGTGCCGGAAGTGCGCGTCATATGACGTCAAGTGGTGTAAGACGTAAAGTTGCCTGGTCATTTTTAGCTGGAAGTACACGGGAGTAAAGCTGTGAGTGCGAAGTTGAAGCGGATTTTCTGACAGCATGGTAACCACTGCGAAAATTAACACTCACTTACGATTCTCTGTCCTAGAACATTATGTTTTTCTTTTTTAATGAAACATGTTCCTCAGTCTGTTCTAGGACATTCTGAAGGACTTCACAAAAACAGTTCTCAAACTGTTACATTCATTACAGAACAACATCAGAACTGTAAAAAAAAATACACCAAGGGTTAAAGAATAGATTGAGAACCGTAAGTGAACATTAAATGAGACAAATTTTCACAGGGGAAGATAACTTTTTGTCCTTCGGTATTCTGAAGATAGGACACTTGTAGAAACACGGAGCTTGTGATATGAAAACGTGTCCCGAAACTTGAAGTTGCACAATTGTGTGGAGGCGGGGAAACCATCAGCGGATTAGTCGGCTCTTCTTTCATGAAGGGTCCGCCATATCTGATCATTGGATCAGTAGATCCTCAGATCTTCTGTTCTGAATGGCCTAGGTTGTCAATAAATAGTCTTGAGAACTGGTCAGATTGGAGCTTTAGCCTCGGTCACAACCGGCTGTGCGGGCTCTTACGGCCTGTTTGCATCCAAATTTTGCGCAGAATCTCATGTGCCACGCAAGCCAATTTGGAGTTCGCATACATCCCGTAAGCATGTACGGAGGATATTGGACATGTCCAAAAGATTCTGCGAATAATTTGCGAACAGCGAGCATTGGATTTGAAAATNGTTTTGTGGCACACAAGACATTGCAATTTCATTAATGAATTCTAAGCATAAAATCTTTTAAATGGATATATGACCAATCCTTTTTCATTACTGAAAGTCAGGGCCCAATCCTAAGAAATAAATTAAATGCGAACTTAATTTTACTTTAGGACACATGAATTTCCACGTTTTGTTGTATTTTTACGATAGGCCTATTTAATTTTCGATTTACAGTGAGACGGGTGTTTCACTTACCACTTTACCCCGTGGGGTTTCCACAATGATTGGCGTATCTCTGCCAGCAAGTTCATCGGGTGTGCATTTGTATTCCTGTGATATGTGAATAAATGATAATTGTGACAAATATCTCAAATACATGCACATTGGCATATTGGAAACGTGCACCTAAGCTACATTTACATTTAATCTATTCGTGAACACAAAATTTCCCAAATGATCTTTTATAAGAGTGAATCTGTAATATCCTTGGAAGCAATGCTCAGGGAGGCAGCACGTGCCTTTACTAAGGTAACCGGTGTAACGAAACTAAGGGTCCGTGCAACAGAAAGTCCGCCCTCCATATGGTTATAATGGTTAGGGTTAGTCTGACCTAAGTGGGTCAAAATCTAGGGCGAGGCTCACCTGTACAAATGAATGAGAAGCGGACTCTCTGTTATGGGGGACTCTCTGTCACGTTACACCGGTACTCTTTATTTCATCGAGCTCCAGTTGGTACGCTTTCAACTCATTATCATAATAGTAATAAATTGCAGTATCTTTGAAACATATGTATGAATTGTTAATTTATAATTTTTATCAAAACACTAAAGGAAGCCGGAGAGAAAGGATTGTGCCGGAAGTGCGCGTCATATGACGTCAAGTGGTGTAAGACGTAAAGTTGCCTGGTCATTTTTAGCTGGAAGTACACGGGAGTAAAGCTGTGAGTGCGAAGTTGAAGCGGATTTTCTGACAGCATGGTAACCACTGCGAAAATTAACACTCACTTACGATTCTCTGTCCTAGAACATTATGTTTTTCTTTTTTAATGAAACATGTTCCTCAGTCTGTTCTAGGACATTCTGAAGGACTTCACAAAAACAGTTCTCAAACTGTTACATTCATTACAGAACAACATCAGAACTGTAAAAAAAAATACACCAAGGGTTAAAGAATAGATTGAGAACCGTAAGTGAACATTAAATGAGACAAATTTTCACAGGGGAAGATAACTTTTTTGTCCTTCGGTATTCTGAAGATAGGACACTTGTAGAAACACGGAGCTTGTGATATAAAAACGTGTCCCGAAACTTGAAGTTGCACAATTGTGTGGAGGCGGGGAAACCATCAGCGGATTAGTCGGCTCTTCTTTCATGAAGGGTCCGCCATATCTGATCACTGGATCAGTAGTTCCTCAGATCTTCTGTTCTGAATGGCCTAGGTTGTCAATAAATAGTCTTGAGAACTGGTCAGATTGGAGCTTTAGCCTCGGTCACAACCGGCTGTGCGGGCTCTTACGGCCTGTTTGCATCCAAATTTTGCGCAGAATCTCATGTGCCACGCAAGCCAATTTGGAGTTCGCATACATCCCGTAAGCATGTACGGAGGATATTGGACATGTCCAAAAGATTCTGCGAATAATTTGCGAACAGCGAGCATTGGATTTGAAAATTGGATCAACGTCAAATAACAACGTTGTATCAACGTCAGAAAAACAACATTGTATCAACCCACGTTGTTAGACAACATTCTTGCATGAAAAGACATTAAAATGACCTTAAATGTTGTTATTTTTTTATTCAAAAACACATTTACACAATTATAACGTTCAGTGTAAAAACAGCGTTTAGCTCCTTAACGCATTTCTAAGCGCCTGTTTTGTTTCAATTTTTCATATATATATATAAGAAAGTCACCTTTGCCTGTTATGAGTACAATTTCCAAGGCCATTGCACCTTGCATTTAGCGTCCCTGCTTGGAAGACCATCTCACATGGCCTCTGCGACTCGCAAGGCAGACTTGCGCCTTTCCACAGCAAACTTTCCTTTACCTCCATGGATTCTACTGCACCCAAAATTCGCAGGGGACGTTTGATCCTAAAATTCCTGCGTCCGGTTGTGACCGAGGCTTAAGGTAGTCTTATCTACCTGTCAAATTTGTGAGCAGCTCACATACAATTCTCTTTTCGTCTTATTTACAAGGTAATATTGCACCTTATCAATGTTAAGTTTACTTTTTACCGATGAAATATTTCAATTGTCAGGAGAATTCATCACATTAATGAAATATTTGTACATTTTCCTTCTATTCTCTCAGGATTTAATTGTGGGACTAGGACGGACGAAACCAAAGTTTCTCCTAGATTTGCATGATCATATATGTGAAGTTTCATTTCAGATTGATATTTAACCATTTTAAAACTTGTCACAATATAAAAGAAATATTTCATTGAACAACGATCGTGGTTCAGTGCTAATTTGTAGTTAGTTTCGCTCTATTTCCTGGTTTAAGCAAGGTCCTTGAAGGACAACAAAACACCAATATAACTGCAGCACTTACCATAAAACACCAAACAATAGTTAGGTAGGGGGCATATCAGGTTGCATACATGCAAAAATGGCATATGACAACGATTTACAACCTCACATGATTTTTTCCCCGTGACGTTCTTTGTCGCGGTTTCACCTGATGCAGCAAGTTATTAAAAAACAAATCGACTGAATATAAGCACAATTATGCACCTTCAAGCCTCGTGATGTTTTCATATCATATACCTCTCCTCAAAATGCCGAAAGGTGAAATAATATCTTACCATGTTGTCAGAGAATCCGCTTCAACTTCGCACACATCGCTCCACTGCCGTGTACTTCCAGCTAAAAATGACCAGGCAGCTTTACGTCTTACACCACTCGACGTCATATGACGCGCACTTCTGGCAAAATCCTTTCTCCTATGGTTCCCTTTATTACAATTAGTAAAATCATTGCTTACCGCGGCAAAATTATAGTACACGTTTTCCTGGCTTTCGTGGCTCGAAAACTGGTTGAGATCTGTTGAAAAAATAAAACCATAGCTTTTAGGATCCCATACTGCTACTCTGAGTATTCTTACCTTGTTGGAAACTCACCCATACTTTTTTTTAGGTCTACCACGTTTTATTATTATTATTTTTTTAATGAGAAAAAGTGCTTTGAGGTTGATTCAAATGAAGAAAATCACACAATTTAGCAAAAATTTTATTTAGCAAAAATTTATTTTCCCAGAAATTTCAGCATTTTCTTATATTGCCATGGTATACCACATCCAAAACCCTTAAAAAAGATAAACAAGCAGCAAAGCTGCAAAATGTACAGGCTAAAAAGCTAATAATGATACTCAAGATAGGTTATTTTGTATGAAATGGTGGCTATATGGGTGCATCTGTTTTAGTAATAGAGAAATATGGGTACGTAAATATACAAAGTGCATTCTATGTTGAAAAGTAGGTCAAATGTCAAATTTAAGGTCATATTGACATGCCCAATATACAATTTCCTATTCCAAGTTCAGTAGTAAACGTGGGTGTATCTCTGCCAGTTTGGGAGTTATACGGACCAGAAAATTGGTACAGTACAGTTCTTGTTGGAAAGTACATGTATACCAAAAGTCAAACTCAAGGTCATATTAAGATTACCAATATACGATTATTCAAGTTCAATTGTAACTATGGGCGTATCTCTGCTAGTTTTGGAATATTTTCATCATTGAGCATCCTATTCAATTCACAAAAATAATCGTAAGCCTTGTAAATTAATTTAATGAAATCGCTTGCTTGTGCACTTCATGGTTTTACATGTAATTATATAACGCGAGTGGACTTGCGCAATGCTTGAGTAATTTAGATTTGTACTGGTATGTACCGCGAAATAGTGCAACACTGGATCCCCCTTTCATAAGAAATTGGGATATAAGCCTTCGTAATTAATATCTTAAGTGCCCTTGGGTTTTATTGGAGCAACTTTACGCAAATTTGACACGAACCATGGAAATTCAGATTGCGTTTGCCGACTCGTAAACCATATGTAAAAAAAAAAAAATCCACTTTCAGTGTTGCACTTGACAAGTTCTACAAAGTGCTACAAACAAAATGTCTGTGACTTTTGGGGTTCAAAAATTACAAAGACTTTTCTTTTTTACCGTCTAATGGCTGTTTCTTTACTGAAAATGCACCAATTGACCCCAGACTCAGGATGACGAAAGGAGAACCCAGGTGCAACTTCCCACCATAATATCAAAGCAATTCGGCATAAACAAATACTTTTTTACAAAATTTTGGCCCATTTGGCCATGTATCATGGTTAAACATATTGAGCACTTAAATATACAAAATAAAAATAAAAGAATCTCACCTTCAAAGTTCTTCACATTGAGGAGGAATTTGGGAAAACCCTAATAACAAATATAAACAACAAATATAAATCAAGAAAACTGTTATAACTAAATCACTAAAAAATCTAAATGAATTTAAAATTAGCAATTACATTATTGCATAAAAGCATTTTACATATTTGAGATACCTTCTCTGGAAATTGAGGCTGATACGGGTCAAGGGTCGGGGGTGGCTCGTCTCGATATTTCACACCTGAAAATCCGAAAGGTGCAAGAATATTCAATGTCAGGCAACAAATTGTATAATTCACCAATGATAGGTTAATCAAAAGTTATTAATCATGTTGAAATGAAATTTTCCTTAAATTCGTAAATGCTACTATTATCAACTTGAATTTACTCATATCACTATTGGTATCTGTATGGAGGAACAAGAGGGCACAAGTTCAGGGCCAGAGACAGGTTTTTGGCCTACTTTGGTCTCAGGGAATCGCACTTTTTTCTATTGGTATTTTGAGCAGAGAATACTTGTAGAAATACTGGGTAAATGATATGAAAACGTATGAAGGAGCCTGAAGGTGGAAAGTCGAGCTGATTTTTCAGTCAACCAGTTTTCTTAAAACTTGCTGCATCGACATTCCATTCCATCTTGCACCATTTGACCCCCTACGACGAACACCTCTGGCACAATCTGATCTCCTCCAGTTCACTTAAACGCAATGGGCATGTAATATTGCGTAACAGGGTCTCACAAGTTCCTTTCCAATGAGTCTCAAAGGCTGTAATTATAATAGGCCTACATTTTCAGCCCCCCCCCCCTCCATGCGGTACATATATATCTTGACCGATAATTTTGAAGTATCGTTTCAATTGGTAACAAGGCGACCGATGATGAGACTAATGACAATCAACAAATTGCATTCAACTACAATATAATTGAAGCCTCACAAGATCTGAAACAAATTTCATTTTAAAAAGCACAATCTGAGAAAGGAACGAACCGTCTTGTTTTCTTCGCGAAAGAAAATCTCTGAACATCTCTTGCAAATCGTCTATCTTTGGACGGTTCTCTGGAGTCGTCAGGAAACATTTCAACAGCGGTACGAAGATGATCTGTGGTATACAAGGTGGGTGAGTAGGTGTTAGTCCATAACGCAACACCTAGAAGATCAGGAAGATACGGCTGAAGTTGATAACAATCTGAACAATGTATCTTAATGTATCAAAAGATAAATAAATAAAATAACTGCTGCAGCGTAGGTACAGTACTATGTAAAAGAAATTCCCACATTATACTACTACATGTGCACATGACATTACATGTACCTCTGCTGCGTACTAAATTTTACTCCATAACTTTTAAATAAATATGTCCATGTAATAGAAAGTCCACAATCTTTTGATTTCATACAGCTTGGGGTAAGTGTGTTGCAGGGGCCTTGCAATATTAAACCTCGGAGCTGAGATTTAATCCGTTTAATGGCGAGTGTGGAGGCGGGGAGACCATCAGAGGATTAAGCGGCGCTGCTTTTAAGTTCGATCGGCTATATTTACTGGGTGGATAAGTTATTCCGCGGATCATCTGTTCTGAATACGCTCATTGAAGGAAATCCACTTTTACTTCCATGCTCCGACTAACCTGTACTAATCATATGGGACCTCGGACTTCCATTCCTTTCACCCGAAATTAAAGGCATAGTTCTACTATCCGCGTTTAAAACGTTGCAAAGTCATTTTCATCCATTTCATTTTCTGTCTCCATACTACTACTTTTCCCTAATTCAGACCTTAATTCAGACCTTAAAAACAATGAACCCCCTTCAAACATGAGCACCTGATTACGATGCTTCTTTCTGAAATATAAAGAACGGTCTAAATGAATGGCCAGGCGTTTAAAAATAGGCCTATTACTGAATTACAAACGACTTAAAAACCAAATCCTAGTGGAGGGACGGTTCAAGCAATGGTTTGTGAGTTTGTGAGTAGACTATCGATGTATCTCTCCACCAGCTATTAGGGTAACCAACTGTATTGACTGGCCACCCACCTGGAATATTTTGTCGTCGGCCTTGAGTGTGGTCAGTTCATTGTAAGGAAACCGGCCATGAGTCATAACCTCAATCAGAGTGTGCCCTGTCATGTACATGTCAGATTTCATAGTGTACACATTGTGCAGGAAAGATTCTGGCGCTGTCCAAAGTTTGGCAACCTGCGTCCCTTTGGAACCTGAAAAGGAGTACAAAAGCCTTTAAATTTGGCCTGTATGGAGTAATTGTACACACGGTTAAATCACTCTCGGTCAAAAATCTGGTAGCGTACTAATAAAAGGATTTGCATAGCCCTACAACCTGACAAAGTCCAATAATGATTAGAATTCTTAACATAATGATACCGAGCTGTTTACATGTTTGATTGCAAACATGTGAAAGGGCAAAAATGTTTTAGTGATTTTACCCAAGTTCTCTTACGAATGTATAGTCTGCTCACCATAATAGACAAGACCACTGGTGTCACTGGCAAGTGTGTCCAAATTATCCATGGATTTGTTTGTGGTGGTTGATTTCATCACTCTCGCTAAGTCAAAACCAAACAAAATACACCTTATGTGACTAGCACTGCTTTCATCCAGTAAGAAGTTACTAGCCGTTATATCTCGTAGTACGATCGCATGGTCTTCGCAGAACTGAACCGCACAGAGTACATCCTTCACTGGTCCTGTGAGTAGCTGAAAAAGCGAAAGCGGTGCCCTCATTCTTTGGTCCCTGTAAAGCAGCCATTGAGACAAGGTCTGGTCTGATCTGGTACTTTCTAAAATGTAGAACAGTGGGAACGACAAATCGTGGTACCCTAGCAATCTGGCAACGGAGCGGCATTCTGGTGAACAAGATAAAGTTTTAAGAACTTCGATTTCTTTGGAGAGCTGTTCTTTAGCGACGTCAAGCCTGGTGCCTAGTGAATCCAAATCCTGTGGCAGCCATGCTTTCAGGGATACAAAAACAGCAGTTTTGGCAAACTTTCCTTTCCATCTGGTGCTACAGCTCTCTCCCGTGTGCCTGCTGAGTTGAGTTTGATATCTATCTACCTCCAACCCAAGGTGCTGGTGTAGTGACATGATATATTCCCTCACCTGAGCTTGCATGTCGGGCATGACATCAGGTCTCACGTGCCCTCTGGTGTCCAACCCAAATACGTGCTTCATAGCACTTTCTCTGAGAGACGAATCTTCATGAAATAGCAATTTAGCTGCGTTGTCTAACAACACTTGTCGAAGATTTGATCGAACGCCGGCCTGTTTGTTAAGATATCGCAGCAAATTGACGAGACCGTCGGTAACTGGATGTAACACAGCTGAAAAAAAAATGAGTCAAGTGTAACACAGCATGTCAATGCATTCAAAATGTAATCAAATGTACAATTCTATACCAATTTTCAACAAACTAACATTTTAAGTTTAAGCATTCAATTCTGGTTTGAAGATTCTGCCATAACTCACTTGACGTGGAGTTTGTCTGCATGCGCTCATATAGCATGATCCAAGAGGCAGCATCAAGATCGGACATATTGGCTTTAGACATGTGGTTTTTCACGATGCTTTCCACGACAGAGTACAGGTCTGGGTTTTCCGACACCTAAAAAATTGCTTGCAGTTTTTAGACACTGCAACAACGCTTAAAGAAGGCAAAAATGCATTATGGCGCTCTTTTCCATTTGAATACACTATTGAAAGTGCGATAGTACAATTAGAGATTATACGTAACTAATAGGGGAAGTGACAAATAAAACAATACCTTGAGAGCAATATAATGCAATATTATGTGCTTTTCAAGCCAGCCGTGTCTGGCAGTCCCATTTATCCAACTGGTGCCCCCAATCACTCTTTGAAGCTCCTTGTGGTCTTTGGCATCTCCGCTGCATAGTGTTACAACTCTGCGTAGTGTCTGGCGGTACTCGTCCGTTCGTTGTCGCTTCCAGCGTCTTCTTAACTTGGTGGTTTGGAGCAGTCTTTGAAGGCACTTACAAGACAACTTTTGCAAGTTGGCAAGTTTGTATTGTGCCGATGTAGGGAACTTTGAACTATTGTTGTTTACAAAGTAATTCACATTTTCCACTGGCATCACCTCATGACTTTTCAAATTAACAAAATCACCCATATACAAAAAATACATCATGGTGATAATCCGCGTGTATGTTAAAAGCAGTTTCTCTGTCAAAGGGATGCTGCTGAACATTTTGCACTCTTGAATGGGTTGTCGCATAATTTTTTCTATTTCCAGCAAAGTTTTTGAAAATTTTTCAGAGGTGATCTTGTTGTATGTTTTCAGTAAAGAATTAAGCGATTCCAGTGCAAACAGTTGTATCTGCTCGTCCTTAATGTAGGCGAATAGGTATGTTAGACTCAAAAAACCTCTGCTTTCTGTTGCCTTAGGTATGACATATTGCAGGAGAAAACGAGCGTCTGGATTTCCAACTTGGCCTTTTTTTAAATGTTTTAGATACTCACTTGGCGCCATACCCATACAAGAAGGTTCTGAAATGACCATTTGCAGTATAATAATCATTCCCACTCTCAATGCTTTGCATTCACTACCTGCCTCTCTCACCTTCAATATCACGTTTTAAACAGGTACATACATCTTGTGAAAACCTGTAGATAAATGCATATTTCAGGTAATGAAATGTTTTAACAGGATACTTAATGCAACGTGGACTTGGATAAAAATGTGACGTATTACCCCTCCGCTTCCCCCCACTCTCTCTCTCGCTCTGTCAATTTCTTACCGGTAAGGCACATTACTTCGTTTTTGATCCAGTATCTGTCAGTGCTGAATGAATTCGACTGCGTTGGCATCAAAAAATCTTTAAAGGGCGTTTCTTCTTCTAAGACAATCTCAGTGCTCCAATTTGCTTGAGAAAGCTTTTGAAAAGACATTTAAGGAAAGATATCGATGAGTACCAGTTGCTGAAAACCTAAATGAACAGGAAGGCTCTTGTAACATCTACATCGAAAAATTATCTTAGAAAAAATGTTTTTTCTGAAAAAAAAGTATTTTATAGTTCTTCGTATTCGAAAATTAGCAAAAGGGTAGAAATTACCTGAATACTGTTTTCCAATCGAAAGGAATCGAACGTGTCTACAGTGCTGGTCGTTTCAGAAAAAATAGGTGTCGTCCATTTGGCTGCAACAATTTTTTAAAATGGGTACATATACAAGCAAAATCCAAACAACAGCTTGTTTATTTTACTATATGTAGTTATTATGCTGTGTCACGAAGACTATTTTTGTTTTTGGAATTCATTGAATATTAGTATAAAATCGATCCTTCTAGAAATTGAACCATGTAGATATAATATTGAAAATACAGTGGCTATATTAAGGTAACCGTAAATCGATTTTTGCATTCTAGTTTCGACTGTATATATTTATGTACTTGCTTGTGTGTGTGTGTGATTTAAAACAATGCAAAATGTATTATTATTCAGCCTTTCGTGTTGGCTTGAAAAAATGAAATTTACCTTGTTTTTTCTCTGACACATATCCCGTTGTAACGTCATCAGCATAATTTGAAACACATTCGGATTCACTGGCACAGTGCTCAACGCTTGGGACATCCATACGGGCAGTAGAAAGTGCTTAAATATATAATTGGTCATAGCATGTATAATTATGTTACATGAATCATTGTTACAAGAATCATTGAACGACAGACATACACATAAATGAATATTACATATATCTCGCAAACTATAATGTCGGTTTTTTCACATTTTTTAAAATAAAAATCCATATCTTTGCGATACTGAAAATGTTTCACCGTGTAATCATTAAAAAGCAAATTACAGATAAATAAAATAGATTACTTGAAATGCTCCCCTCCGCTTCGCATCTTCTTTCCACTGTCTGCGATGCCTCTGAAACAGCTAGTGTCGGTGGAGCTGGTCCCCTAAGAGTCCGCAATAATCGTTGTTCGTTTTCCTTGATTCGTTTTCCGGATGTCTTTTTTAAATCCAATATTTGAAACTTACGAAATGCGACAAGAATTGCAGAAGACCCTTCTTCGATTGCAATGCAGATGTATTTTTCGGGGCACAAATCAGGTTGAAATATTGTATCATAATAGTCAGTGCATATGGCGTTGCAAATTGGAACGAGGACAAATTTGCTGTTTTGGATAGCATTCTCTATGTGTCTTAGAGTGATTCCTCCAACTGGGAAGTTTTCAGGGGGATACGTGTACGAAATGCCGTTTTCACGTAAAAACTTAAGGAGATATTTTTCTATGTAAGTTTCGTAAAATTTGATACTATTCTTGTGCGCGGTATCTGTAGCTTCGGGGATGTAAACATCGAATGTCTCCTTTTGAGACCCTGTAAATATAAAGCATGCAATTTTTAAGTTAATTCGGCAGTATCAATTGCATTGGAAACTATAGACAACTTAGGCCTATTTATCAGTTATACATGTACCAACATTAAGTTTGTTTTCACGCATACTACTTAACTTAAAGTAAAGTCTGCTGAAGATTAGATTGCGTTAATATTTAAACATGCCAAAAATGTTTCCTGTTATAAGGGTTAGTTAAACCAAGGAGTTCTGTTATAACTCCTTGGTTAAACTACTGTTATATAAAGCAAAGGAAGGTTCTAAGGATGCAGTATTTGTAGAAATCTATTATTATACTAGTAAATTAAATTATTATCTTTTGTACCAGCACAACTTAATATAGTGGCTAAGATCTAAAAATAAAATACATAGATATTTTATTTTTATACATGTAAAGTAGGCTTATGCAAAAATTTCGACCGGGGTGCCACTATGCCTTTAAACTAGTTTTAGGTATTTCGAGTTAGTCAATAACAACAGGCATAGGCCTAGAAATAGTAGAATGTACCTCAATGTAGGTTATCTCCATTTTGCAAACAACAGATAACATTTATCAATACTATCACCGTGGTGAGTATTCAGATATTTTAGACGACATTTATATAAATAAACCAAACAACAGCACACAACAGTAGCTAGATGCTGTATCAAAAAAATCCCCCCACTTGGCTTAATAGGGAGAGCGTAATTAAGTAAGTATTTATCGCAATATGAGAATAATTGGCTTTTAATATAGCTAAGAAAGTCACACTACATGGCAAAAGTAGAAAATAAAAGAAAGTGTATACTTTTTTATCAATACAAACAGCTACTATCTTAGTATTGAGTTTGGTATTCGTGGTACGTGGTTCTAGTAAAATGAAAAGAAACCACATCGTACACCTTTAAACATTCCCCAGTACCTTGTAATATTAACCCGGATACGACAAATGTAATAAACAGACGTCCTACATAACATCTGAGATAGTCCTAGCCCTCTTATAATGAGCTTTTAAGTATTAAAATACTAATGGCCGTGTGAATATTTATAAAAGGGAACATCAGTAGGCTTCGTTCAGACAGATATCCCACGTCTCCGGATACCACGGATCACTTTCAGATGTAAAAGTCGAAACTTTAATACACTTAAGGTATTCTGAGCGTTTTCACTACCCGTTACACACACAACACCCTGTTTCCGTGTTACACGTATAACTCAGATACAACACTTGCCACAGAGCTAGCTCTATTGAAAATCAAATCACGCAAAGAAGTCGTGAACTTCACGTACATGTACAACTCAATAACTTGTATTGTATCTAAAACACACATATGAGTACACATTATCGTCAAAACATTACCTTACCTGTACCAACGAGGTTGAATTCAGCCATTGATGGCCCAGTTGTTCAATAGTGTGTCACATGATAGTTTGAGATCAAGAGTGATTGACGTCAAGTCCAAAATTCCAAAGGCTTTTGTCAAATAGTACAGTTAAATACTAGAGGCTTTACACTGTATTTGTATACTTTAATGTGAAGCACAAACGTCAAAAGCACCCGATTATTGTTTATAATCCAAAATTGACAGAGGGAAAAAACAGTATTATTTCTGTTATACTAACAGACTCGGTATGGTAGAGTATTTGACAAAGGCGTTCTCAAGTTATTGCCTAAATATAGCATATTTCAAAGCCGGATTTCCTATGTTCCATGAAAGACATTATCAGAAAAATAAAAATAAAAGAATTTGAAGTTGTATTCATATTTTAAAAAATATACTTTATGCGTATAGAACAAAAATCCACATGTAATTTCTATCATGGTCCATTATAATGTACATGTACTAGTAAGAAGCATAGTCGAATCTTGTTGTTCCGGTAACGTGTTTCTGGACACATACATTTTATTTTTTGTATTGTGTTCCGATATACAGGGGGGGATCCAGGATTATTTGAAGGGGGTCTGGAACGACAGGCCTCGGATGCGAAGCCGACCATCGCCCCCTTAGTGTGGGGTTCGGGGCTTGCTCAAGGGGCCCCGAAAGAAATTTGGTGTTTTGGAGAGCAAACAGTGCCCTTTGGTACGGTTTAGAAATATAATTTAGCTAGTTAGATTTCTAATTTCAAGAGGAGAATATTGGTGTAATATATTTATCAGAAACCGAAAGGGGGGGGGGGGGGTCAGGACCCCCCTGACCCCCCTCTAAAACCGCCACTGAATATATCATGTAATGATTCATTCGTTGTAAATTATAGCTGACGAAAGGACGTCTTTATAAATATTTAAACTGTAACTCAGGGTTCTTTGCATTATGGCTTAAACGTAGGTAACTTTCAGCACTTAGTGCAATAAGTAACAGGGGTTTTATGTTGTCAATTGAATCATCTGTATTGTAAAGTTTGACATTTTTGAAATAATTTTTTGCACCACGAAAAGAAAATAGTTCATTTAATGCTTCCTTTACTGTCGGTATACTGCATTTTTTATGATATTCAGTGTTCGACATACTAAAATCGTGCAAAAAAATTAATCCCTCTATATATACAGATGATTTTCATTTTTACAACGTTATGCTTGTAGGGTATAAATTAAAGAACGGAACCAGTGCTGATGGAATTTTCAAAGGGAGTAAAACACTTCTGTAGCTAAAGTATTCCATTTGTGACAGTAACGTATGTTTCTTTTTGGGTTAGATTATTGGCATTTTTTGTTTATGGTTCTACAGCAGTGAAACTCTGATATGAACTCTCTTTATGTGGGACCCTAAAATTACCAAACATAGTTTCTAATCTGTGCATTTTATATTTTAAGTGCATACCCAGGGGCGGATCCAGAGATATTTTCTGACAGTCTTCCAAATTATCTTTGTTGATCCATCCTCCATTTTTGACCGTCTTCCGACAGAAAATATAAGATGCCCGATAATGTAAACTTGAAAATCTGACCGTCTTCCGGAAGACCCAGAAGACGGCTTAAATCCGCCCCTGCATACCTGTGACCTCAATTGCACCTCTATATTGGATTTGGGTGATAACAGCAGTCAAAAGAAATGACGATAGATATTTATTAAAACTTATTCAGTAGTATCAACCGGATCTCCGTGTTCGCATCATGCGAAAGAAAACATGATCGCGCAGTTTCAAAAGGCATCATCTTATAATTTCGTCTTTGATTAACTTCTAAAAAAAAGGGAATTTGATAATAAAACCTCAAAAGACTTTGGCCGACCTGGAGTGGGGGTTATAAAACAGTAGATGTGTGTGCCAACTGTAAGGCACAGGGACAAAAAAATTGTTCGTTTTCTAAAAGGAAATTAGGAGAAGGAAGCACGTACCTCCGGACGGATGGGGAGGCACTTTGCCCGCTGTGTTACCCTGGATTTGCATTAATGGATGCCAAGAAGTTATGAAATCTTCATCTAAATTTTCATTTGTAATAAGAGCAACATGCATGGTATCTTTCCGACAAAAATGAGATGAAAAATAATGTAAAACATGTCCGTCATATTTTATGGTATCGACCGCATTTTTAAACCAATCCAGTCTCGATAATTGGCCACTTTGCTATATACGCCGTATTTTCCATCAGCGGCGCATCCTTCGCCCCAACTGACCAGCCCGATTAGGTACCAGCGAGTCCCATTTCGAAAGACCAGTGGTCCCCCACTGTCCCCGACGCAGGCGTCCCCCACTACTTCCCTGGCGTAACCCGCACAAAACATATTATCCGTAATGATATATGACATCGTGCTTTCACAGACTGAATGGGAAACTAACGGCAGGCGCACTTCGTTGAGATAAAGGGGATACCTGCCGCCTTGTGACAGTTGCCCCCACCCCGTGATTGTCCCAAAACCCTGTGCCTCTCCGTCCAACATGGGCTGGATCATGTCAATAGTGGACAAGCATATTGGGCGGATGTAGTCCGTAAACTCCACTCGAGACGAAAGCTTTATCAAAGCTATGTCGAAATCGAAAGTAATTCGCTCGAATTGTTCGTGCACAAAATACGTCTGCATGGAGTAAGACTTCTCGTGAGGATCTCTACCGGTACGGCTATGTTTGCCTAACTTCAAAACCAAATTACTCGGCGTCAAACTTTTTCTGTGCCTTGTTTGGAATTCGTAAAAGCAGTGAGCTGCTGTTGCCACCCATAGCTCGTTGAGTAGGACTCCACCGCAGAAATTTAGAGCAGTCGCCTCCCAGAGCATAACTTGCCAGGGGGCGCTGCCTATCCGAGCATCTCTCCCTCCAACGATGTACCCCCTTTGCACCGGTGTAGCTGACCAGGGCTGGGCTATTACTGGACTCCCGCAAACTAAAACATTCAACGATCAAACATGTTGGCATACAAGGGTAGGTAATTCTTGAAATATTTTCCGGTGCTATAAAGGCATTCATTTATGTAAAAAAAAATATGGAACTAGCACTAAACTTTGACAATCTAAAACAGTTACAGATAATTTTTATTCCACTGAATATAATTACATCATTGATATGTCTCTTCATCTGCGCCAACTGACCCTTACTTGTAAAATTTTGCAAACACTAATTAATGCATCCGTCAGTATTTGTGATGATGATAAATCATACGTGTAGAAACAATACTTACTTTCGTTGATATTTGCAAAAACTGTAAGAACGGCTTTTGCCTCCACCCTGCAATCATATCTATCTGTTGCAACACATTTGTACTCTCCGGCATCCTCGTGGGTTATCCCTCGAATCAACAGGTATCCATTCACCAGAACTTGGATTCGGCCGTCCGCTGGCAGTGATTGGTTGTTCTTGAACCACGTGACTTGTCCCGCTGGTGATGCCAGACAAGGAAATGTATGAAGATCTCCTACGGCCACTGTGACGTTCGTTGGCCCCTCAGTTATTTCTGCATCAGATTGTTAAAAATAGTTTTAAGGTAAAAAAGGCTTACTTTCAAATTTTTAAAGCACTGATAAGTCCGCTTCTTTCACAAAAAATTCCTCCAACGAGTATAATTTCAAAAAAGTCTGTACTTTTTAACTGCCCTTTTTGCTACTTAAAGTATATATATATATGCAATTATGTCGCTGGGCACAATTTTATCTGTATCTGTAAAAATACTGAAATTGCAAGAATCAAAATTTTGTAGAAATTCGTAACCCAGAGCTTGTAAAACTTTAATTTTGTCAACTAAAATTGCTCTTAGAGACAAAAATTTATAAACACATGAATAAGAACGAAAAAGACACGATAGCTTCACATCAAATAAAACATCCTTTCACAAATAAAAACGATTACCAACTCACAAACCTAGGTTACACAGTTTGATATCCGGAGACGTGATCCAGCCCGTAGATTCCAGGCGCTCCCCGTCTAACTCCGCCACACATGTGTACTCCCCTACTGTGGTCGCGTCAACGGCAGGAATAAGGAGCACCCCATGCGGTAGAAGAATGTGTTTTCTGGAAGTCTGAATGATTGGAACCTTTCCGAAGAACCTGAAATTTTAGAAAAGAGATGGTGTTTATCACTGTTAACCTAATTTTCACATACGCTTTTCTCTTTTTCATATCGCAGTTTATTTTTTTTTTATCACGCTGATATTTAGAAATTAATGTTTACGTACCACGAAATTCCCGTGGCTGGTTCAGTGTCACATTCCAACACGGCCAGTTCATTTAACGCGACGGACTTGTTCCCTGGAATGCTCTTCAAAAACCGAAACGCTGAATCCAGTGCGGTTGGAGGCGAGGTGGGCGGAACCGAGGTTGACGATGTCGTAGTGGCTGGTGAGAAAAGAAAGTAATCATAACAGATCTAAAAAAAATTAAAAACAAAGCTATTTCTGAATCTGATTTGGAGGGCTGAAAATGAATTATAGATGCAGAGAGAGCGTGTATTTTATGCACAGTTTCTGAACATCAACTTACATATCGCTATTTAAAAATATAATCAATATCAATATTACAGCGAAAATTAAACTCCGTATTGACGAAGCCTGTTTCCTAAGTGACATACTTGGACAAGGCGGAACATCACAAGCTCTAGCTCTGTACGACTCTCCTTCGCAGACATTTTCCGAACCCTCTGGTCCACTGTTAAGGCATACTCTTGTTTGCCTCCGCATACCACGACCCCCGCAGGACCGGGAACATTGACTCCAAGGAGTCCAACCTGACCACACAGAGGTCTCTAAGATTAAAAAAAAAAAGACTACAGATAACCTACCTATATGTGGCGTTTGTGTTTCACCAATTTAATTTTTTATACGTCTCCAGTGTTGCCAAGCCATTTTTTGTTCTTGTTTTACAGTCTGTGAATCGTCTACCATGTATTTCTGTTTGTGATGATGGTACATGTAGAAACCGTTTCATGTATAGTGAATGTGCCATGCATTGCCTCTTTGCAACATTTAGGACTTTTCTCTTTGTAATACTTGGGACTTATGGCAGTTTCTATTTCATAAAACACTCGTTTAAAAGAATGTTACAGATCAGTCAGCTTCAGCTACAAATCAGCGACGAAATAGCCTGTATTTTTTTTCAGATCTCTATCCTTAATACCGTATTGTTTTTATGCAAAGCAGTTTCAAGCAGTTTCATGCAGAATACTTACCCCAGGCAAGCGATTACTTACTTTCATTGCAGCATCGTCCTTTGAAACCCTGGTCGCACTCGCACCTCTTGTGCCAGTCCGACCACGAGCCTCTGTAGCAAAGCTGGCCGCATGGCTGGCTGTCGTAGGCATCTGACGCTGACTTTTTGCAGTGCTTTACTTTCTGGTGAAAATCCAACCACAACCAAGCACACAGCCCTCTGGAACGAGTTCTGGAGCCTCCTCCGCACGTGCTCAAAAAGAAAATCGACAGATACAGAGCAGCCAGCATATCCAAAACAATGTAATGTAAAACAGACGTTACATTGATTGGAATCCTTACATGTTTTTTAAAAATATTTACAGCACTCGGTAAATAACGAAGTATTTTTTTCGAATTACTAAGCAGATGCCATCCTTAGTTACAGAAAAGCTTTTTAAAACATACTATTGAATATCCGAACATGTGCTTACATACTTCAATTGTTATGAGTATATAAATCAGTACCATATATGTGGTTAGTAGACTGTTTGATATGACAAAACCATTGCCAAAACTCTCCAAGATTTCAGCTAACATAATTCCTTTTGAAAGAAGAACTTAAAAATTAATTGTGCTCTTTTGATGATTGGCCTACATACACTTTAGATGGTCTAAGAAAAAATTTAAGAGTAGAATAAAAAAGATTAAATAACCATAAAGCGCGAAAGAGGTTTTGTTCCCCCACTAAGAATTCACTCTCAGGGTAACCCAGAATGACCTTTATTGTTTTACTTTAAAGGCAACATGGGCAAATCTTTGGTAAAATGCGGGATTTGATCTCGTTTATGTTTTATGCCCGTCACAGATTTGTATCTTCATTGACTTACATACATGTAATATCTGTTTAATTGGCCCAAATTACTTTTAAAGTAAGTCAAAACTTTATGAGGTCGAATGTTCCTTTCAAAGAAAATAGGAAGTATTTGATATTTGTCAAATACCACACGCTCACGGCCCAAATGCAGTCTTCTCTTTTTCATTCTCACCAAACAGATAAAACTGATACAATGTGCATCCCAGGAAATTGCAATACCTAGTAATCAAGTTCAACGTGACCGTCAGCCCTTACTCTATTTGTTTCTTGGGGTGTTGAAGTGGTGTGCGAAACAAGTCCATCTTTCAATGTAAACTTTTGAGACAAAACTTGTTTCTACGTGTGTCAAAAAGAAAGAGTTTCAATGTGCTATATCCATACCTGCTGCATTGACTCCAATTCCCCCATTCAGCCCAGCTACACAGTCTGAAACACAGATTTAATCCACTTGCAAGTCTCACCAAGCAACAAAACAATACCACCAGAGAAACAATCCTAAATTCCTTCATGTCGATGGTATAAAAATGAGTCAAACTAGAAATCCCGAAGCACAATGTTCCTGCAATTCTTTATATGTGCGTTGTGTTTGAAATGATTTCCGACCTCGGCTGCGTAGCACTTAGTATATCCGTGTGTCCGTGTTTGTATGATGTATGTGTTATTACTGCGTTCCACTTGTCGATTTATATGCAGAGGTCGCCGTGTATGCACTGAAAGCAGGGTCCTGAAATGTAAGCCAGAGAAATTCAGGCACAAGGCAGTAGAGGAATTTCCACAAAAACAATAGCGACGCACAGGCTTCCGGCTCATATTTGCGGCAAACGCTTAGCTAAAGTTATTCACACGCTGACACCTCTCCGCACTGTGTCGCAGCGTAAACAAACTCATACTGAAGCCTCCGCTGCAGGTTGATGTTTGTTGACTTTTTTCATGAACGTCAGACTCATTCTCTTACGTGCATTTAAAACTCATTGAGACTAGTTTCACACATAAATGGAAAAAGTAATTTAGCATCATTAATGAAGAGGATAGGGGTAAGCAATTCTATTGTGATTGATAGTCATTAAGACTCAAATGTAGAATTGCAGAATTTTGCCTCTACGCTTATGAGGACAATGTTTTTCTATCAATCTTTATTTTGATTTACCACAGAAACCCCGGATAAAATTCACATTTTTGCTCCGGGCGCATGCCGTTGATTTTTTGCCCAATATCTGGGATTACATCCAATTGTAGTACACAAAAGAGGGTAGAGCTGTAATTCAGATCAAAACACTTCCTGAATGAACTCTTTGAGAATTTCCTGTTTATAGATGCAAGCAAACTTTATTTTTGTTTCAGCGGTAGATTTTATTCTTTTATTTGAAATTTGAATTTCACTTTGTTTGTAAAACTATTAGACCCTTCTTGCCAGAGCAGAAAATAAACCGAACATGTCAAGTTCATTTTAATCGAACAGATTTAAATTGCAATTTCTGCGCAAAAATGTTTTTGTCTCAAAATGATTCAGAAGTTTTGTTTTCTTTTTTGTCTTCTCTTCCTGACATATTTATCTAAATGGCATACACCATGTAGGGTTTAAAGAACTAACACCCCATTCTCATAGATTAGATCGACCTACATTGGATCGACCTAACTCCCTGGGGGTTCACGCTAAATAGCTGTCAGCCGGGCGGACACGAAAGTTAATTACCCCTTAAAGCTTGTAGTAGGCGGGGACGGACACTTAAGGGGGATTATCTGACAGTAATCTAGTGAGACTCCCCGCGGTGATAGATCGATCTAAAAGTTGTGAGAACAGAGCCTAAGAGGAGACATGTGGTTTTCCATTAGACCAAGTGTCATTATCTCAGTTAATTGACATCTGAGATCATCCTAATAATACATTATGAAAACGTGAATGTTCCGGCCGCACGAACAAGTCTATCAAGAAAATCATCAGAAAACATGAAATATGAAGTGCTGTCAAGTCAAGGAAGTGGACCACTAGCCTTGACACTAGCGTCAACAAAGATCTATTTTTAACAGTAAGAAATTCACTGTATATATTGGGCTGTTTTTCCTTCTTATTACAGTTAAACGCCTGTGGACCGTCATCTTGGACGAGAGGAGGCTTTGCTTTACTTGCTCGATCACTTATTTCTCGGACGCAAATGCCAGTGATGTGCTCTGCCCATACTTGACGAATCGTTGCGATTGGAGTCATTGGCAGTGGCCAAGGTTTATCAAAGAGTGCGTTTCAATTTAACCGAAACCCATCAGGAGACCAAAACGTGACTGACCATTATATGTTATAACATTCATTTAGATGAAAACGTTTTTGTTCCTGAGAATTAAGCCATAGGCCAAGGACATGGTCATGAGTTCATTTTAAACAATTATAGGTTTTTTCCTTTTCAATTTGAATAAAGACCTCAGACCTTATACTAGTAGTTTCGAGCTCGATGTTACAAACTGCCTTCCTTCCAATTATCATTTTTCATAAAGTAAACCATCTTGTTCAGTTAGGCCTACAGCTCTCATAGCTTCCACATAGCTCCACAGTCGAAACTTGAAAAAAAAACCCAAAAATTTTTAACTTTTTTTTTTACAGAATCCAACATGACCGCCAATTTGTAAGATAAAATATAAAAGCAAACAAAGATTATTTTCAAAACTATCTATCCGTGTTTCACTGAGTGTTACCCTATCCAACATGCACACGTGGGTGACAATATCTATATGCTTTTCCATTTTAGTGGTGATGTCATTTTATGGTCATGTGCGTGGCGTGTTGTGGGTTTTGCCAAAACTGTGTCTTCTCTAGCACAACCATGTGCTCGTAATCCACTCGGTATAGTGCTTGTTGTTATATTTAGTGCGTGAACAGCAGAAACACGAAACACAGTACACATAAAGCGAAGTGACGATTATTGCATTGAATTTAAGTAATAGCTTGTTACATCCGTCTGTTTTAATTTTTCATCTTATTCAAGACGCCATATAATGTGCAAAAGACGAAGACGTGTTTGCTACAAAAAAGTTATAACAGTTCATTACACCTTTTCAATTAAACGACACCGAGTACATGTTACAGTTATGAAAATCGATATATTACTTAAATTTTTATAATAACACGAAGAGCTTTTAAGTATATACACACACCACACCACACAACAGGAATGATATCCAATGGCGAATCCAGAGGGAAAGGGGGACAAAGCGGGCACGTGCCCGTCTCTCGCCTTTGGGGGTTACCCCTTCTTTTCCTATTCCCATAACAGTATAAATAGCGAAATGAGATAAAACCCGAGCATATTAAGGTAAATAAAAAGTGTACTGTTTTATAATTTGCAGAAAAGAATTATGAAATAAAAAAATATTAAACTTTTGTGAAAGGTGCAATAGTGCTTTAATAAAGCTTGGATCAAGTCTTGATCTGCTGCGTGAAGTTTCTTTTTCAGCGGAATTGATTTTAATTGTTTTCCGATTTAAGTAGATCACATATCGCCTGCAGCTGGTCTAAAACCAAGTTCTGAAAGACTGTAAATGATATAATAGTAATATGGGCTCAGTAAATTATATATAATTGTACAAAGTATTCATATGCAGGTAACTGTATTCACTGTAAGTGTAATAGACGAAAATGACATTAGAATGTATAAATATATGTAACACATGGCAGCTGGAAAAGTTACAATTTCATCCATTTCAGTTGCTCAGTCTGGATGTGCATATTTTCAATGAAAAAATGGACTTATACTTTTGTTAAGCATCCTTACCTATTGTTTTTTTGGTCTTACTTCAGTCCTGTTTTAATTGTGTAGGGCTGATATAAAAAGACTAAAACACATTTGAAACATTTATAGATTTAAAACAACACCTATAGTACATTGCAGATTATCATCACCGAGTGTCAGGCCTGGTGCAGGCATCGACTATCATGGTCCTCCAGTTATTTTCAGCTCCTTGTTGTACAGTTGACTTGGGACAAATGCATTAAGACTATCAATGTATGGCGTTTTTTGCAATTGTCTTCCTCTACTTCTTCCTTCAATTTTCCCCACAGAGTACAAGTGTTTCTATTCCGTCTATACTGATGGTATGGCCTAGAGACTTCATGTCTTTTTTTCGTTGTTTTCATCAGTGAGTATTGTATTCCTGTGAGTTGTAACATTTCTTCATTGGCCTTTCTTCCTGTCCAGGATATTCTTAACAATACATGTAGGCAACACATTTTGGTGGCTTCCAGTTTCTTCTTATTTTTGTTGGAGATATCCCAGCATTCACAAACATACAAGAGGACTGGACACACGTTGGATTTCAATGCTATCATTTTTGTGTTGATGGAGATGTGCATTGCAGAAAAAAAGGTTTTATTACTTTAACCAGGTGAATCCACCAATTATCTAATTATTTTGTTTATAATACGTTAAAATATGTCCATGTGGTTGCGAAGTGGATAGTTGGGTTTGTTTGTCACACAACACAATTTTCTTTTAGAAAACAAAGCTTTTATTTTAGATTAACTGAATTTCAGCACAATATGTAACATATTTAAAATGTTTAATCATTATATCAATGGATTTTTACATAATAATCTGTACATTATTCAATACAGCAATGCTGGTTTACTTCATAATAATTATCATATATGTAGACAATTTCATAAATCGTGCTTGGTTACAGTTGTTAGTTGTATTTTGCCTTGTGCACAGTCAGTTGAATATTTAGTAAATCACCAGCACAGCTGAAGTTTCTGGACTTCTGACTTCAGACTCCTGGCCATTGTACGGGTTACATTTGAAGCTCAGTCACTTCTATAGGAATTCAAAGTATCCACATGTACACGTACTTAATTCCTTGCCAAAAATATGAAACTTATCTTTTAAGTAGTTTTAACATGTTGGCTTGAACATGCCATGCTGCTTTTTACTTACCAATTTCGTCTGGTTTAACTCCACAGACAAGCTGAGAAAAATTTTATATCTGTATAAAAAAGAAATAACTAAACTATTAAATATATGCCACCTACTGACAGCACTTTCAAAAAGGCAGACATCCCAGATAGTTGAAACCAATAAAGCTTTGAGAAGATTGCTTGTACAGAAAGCAGCAAAAGCCTGATTATCTATTGCTGTGACACCCAGAAAAAATTGTCTTTTCACAAAAATTATGCTTTTCCTTGCCTGGCAACAAATTTGATATGTATCAAACCTTGATAGAAGTAGAACAGTGCCTGTAATTAAGAATGCATTGTCATGGTAACATGACAATATACATATATAAATATATAGCCCAGTGACAAGCAAAAATGGGTAATGATAATGGAGTTATTTCTATTCATCCCTTGTTCTTAGGTTCAGGAAGTAGTTATACCATTTAAATTAACATGCAATAATGTCTTGCCTTGTGATTAAATGCATTGCCTCAAGCATTTTAAAACATGACATTTTATATCAATTTGAAATTTAGACAAATGATGTGTGATCATAACTCCAGGAACCAGAAAAGTTTCACAAACGGATTTCTTTCCACTGATTTATGCAATGTCAATAACACACAAAATGATAGAGTTGTCATTCAGAATATTGGCCATTCTGTAATAAGGCATTGGTAGGGTTTACAGCAAGAATTGGCCTGCAGCTTTTGTGACCCATTTTTTTTTTTTTNACTATAAAGCTGCGTGAAGTTTCTTTTTCAGCGGAATTGATTTTAATTGTTTTCCGATTTAAGAAGATCACATATCGCCTGCAGCTTGTCTAAAACCAAGTTCTGAAAGACTTTAAATGATATAATAGTAATATGGGATCAGTAAATTATATATAATTGTACAAAGCATTCATATGCAAGTAACTGTATTCACTGTAAGTGTAATAGACGAAAATGACATTAGAATGTATAAATATATGTAGCATATGGCAGCTGGAAAAGTTACAATTTCATCCATTTCAGTTGCTCAGTCTGGATGTGCATATTTTCAATGAAAAAATGGATTTGTACTTTTGTTAAGCATCCTTACCTATTGTTTTTTGGTCTTACTTCAGTCCTGTTTTAATTGTATAGGGCTGATATAAAAAAACACATTTGCAACATTTATAGATTTAAAACAACACCTATAGTACATTGCAGATCATCATCACCGAGTGTCAGGCCTGGTGTAGGCATCGACTATCACGGTCCTCCAGTTATTTTCAGCTCCTTGTTGTACAGTTGACTTGGGACAAATGCATTAAGATTATCAATGTATGACGTTTTTTGTCTTCCTCTACTACTTCCTTCAATTTTCCCCACAGAGTACAAGTGTTTCTATTCTGTCTATACTGATGGTATGGCCTAGAGACTTCATGTCTTTTTTTCATTGTTTTCATCAGTGAGTATTGTATTCCTGTGAGTTGTAACATTTCTTCATTGGCCTTTCTTACTGTCCAGGATATTCTTAACAATACATGTAATCAACACATTTTGGTGTCTTCCAGTTTCTTCTTATTTTTGTTGGAGATATCCCAGCATTCACAAACATACAAGAGGACTGGCCACACGTTGGATTTCAATGCTATCATTTTTGTGTTGATGGAGATGTGCATTGCAGAAAAAAAGGTTTTATTACCTTAACCAGGCGAATCCACCAATTATCTAATTATTTTGTTTAGAATACGTTAAAATATGTCCATGTGGTTTCGAAGTGGATAGTTGGGTTTGTTTGTCACACAACACAATTTTCTTTTAGAAAACAAAGCTTTTATTTTAGATTAACTGAATTTCAGCACAATATGTAACATATTTAAAATGTTTAATCATTATATCAATGGATTTTTACATAATCTGTACATTATTCAATACAGCAATGCTGGTTTACTTCATAATAATTATCATATATGTAGACAATTTCATAAATCGTGCTTGGTTACAGTTGTTAGTTGTATTTTGCCTTGTGCACAGTCAGTTGAATATTTAGTAAATCACCAGCACAGCTGAAGTTTCTGGACTTCTGACTTCAGACTCCTGGCCATTGTACGGGTTACATTTGAAGCTCAGTCACTTCTATAGGAATTCAAAGTATCCACATGTACACGTACTTAATTCCTTGCCCAAAATATGAAACTTATCTTTTAAGTAGTTTTAACATGTTGGCTTGAACATGCTATGCTGCTTTTTACTTACCAATTTTGTCTGGTTTAACTCCACAGACAAGCTGAGAAAAATTTCATATCTTTATAAAAAAGAAATAACTAAACTATCAAATATATGCCACACTTACTGACCCCACTTTCAAAAAGGCAGACATCTCAGATAGTTGAAACCAATAAAGCTTTGAGAAGATCGCTTGTACAGAAAGCAGCAAAAGCCTGATTATCTATTGCTGTGACACCCAGAAAAAAATTGTCTTTTCACAAAAATTATGCTTTTCCTTGCCTGGCAACAAATTTGATATGTATCAAACCTTGATAGAAGTAGAACAGTGCCTGTAATCAAGAATGCATTGTCATGGTAACATGACAATATACATATATAAATATATAGCCCAGTGACAAGCAAAAATGGGTAATGATAATGGAGTTATTTCTATTCATCCCTTGTTCTTAGGTTCAGGAAGTAGATATACCATTTAAATTAACATGCAATAATGTCTTGCCTTGTGATTAAATGCATTGCCTCAAGCATTTTAAAACATGACATTTTTATATCAATTTGAAATTTAGACAAATGATGTGTGATCATAACTCCAGAAACCAGAAAAGTTTCACAAACGGATTTCTTTCCACTGATTTATGCAATGTCAATAACACACAAAATGATAGAGTTGTCATTCAGAATATTGGCCATTCTGTAATAAGGCATTGGTAGGGTTTACAGCAAGAATTGGCCTGCAGCTTTTGTGACCCATTTTTTTTTTTTACTAATCATGAAATTTTGAACAACTTTGAGGTTCATAATTATCTGCAGTTCATTCTGAATATAACATTCCTTTGTATACATGGGTTGTAACTCTCCCTGTCTCTGTTCCTGCAGATGTAAATCCATGTTAACTCAAAATTCATAATTTCATCTTTGTGGATTGGATTATTTCAGCATTTCAGTCAGTTCAACATTATGCCTGTACAGAGAATAATATGCAATGATAATAATGATAATAATAATAATAAATATGCTGTATAAAATCATATTGCTGTAGATGCTCTAATGGATTGCCCATTACTCTGTCTCTCTGGAGTTCCCATGTCCACTTCATTGTAAAGTGTACTTCCATAAAACCTCTCCTGTTCTGTTCTTTGGCGGTTAAATTCCTCCTCCAGAGCCTAGAAATAAGGAATAATTAAAGCATTTAGAAATAGAGCCTAGAAATAAGGAATAATTAAAGCATTTAGAAATATAAGCATTCAGAAACGTTTCATAGCCAAGAGATGCAATTACTTCTCAATTATGGTATTTGTCTTACAATTATGCAAAAAAAATCAATGCAGCAAAACAATACATGAAATTCTGTTACAACAATGGGCCACAAATGATTAACTAGATAATTTTAATAAATCAGCATCAAATGCTGGAGGCTTATTTCTTTTCATTTGTGTGACAAGACAAGGAGATGACGAGAAAAGACCTGTGTAGAAATAACCACTGTAGCAAGTTACAGATATGAGAGCTTTCAAATATGAAAATGTAATATGCTGCAAGAATTTTCATTCATAATTGACTGAAAGATTACTGATCTTAAATACAAAGGACTGTAAAGATGGTGAGATGAAAAGACAAGCATGCCGACTATTGTTAAGAACACTTCACTTCTGTTTATATGGGGATGGGGCTATCAAAATGTTTCATAAAGGGCCCCTTTTCCAGGTACTACTCAAATTCTAATGTGTGTATGTGTGTGTGTGTGTGTGTGTGTGCATGCGCATGTGTGCAGTAGGGGGTGGTGGACAAAGCAATCTCTATGTTAATTATTCATTATTTATATATGAAATATCAAATATGGAATTACGATACTATTTCACTGGAGATGAGTGAGAATTTTTTTCAGGTGCTTTGCTGATATGTGCTTCTAACAGTAAGTAATGTAGTCCCTCAAGTTAAGAGTTGTAGCTATTTAATTTGAATTTGCCACATCTAGCAAAGAGGTGCTCCATAAAACAAAATGTTCATATTTGAAAAGGTGCTTGCAATCAGCACAACTGAACCACATCTGGTGCCTGAATACAAAAAGCAATAAACTGCTGTACAGCTAAAAATCAAATTAGTGTCTATATGAGACAGGTACGGGGAGATACATTCAGAGAGAACAGACAAGAGAAGTTCTTGAATTAAAGAAAAAAAAAACTTGGTGACTTTATAAGTAAATTGTACCAGAAAAGAGAAAAAAAATTCCCATTTAAATTCACTTGACTTATTGCAGAAAAAGTCCCATTTACAGGTGCATTAAAATGAAGTGAAATTTTATCCTGGGATGACCGCAATTCAATAATCTGCAAACCATGCAGTGTCTTTACATGTAAGTTCGTCATTTGTAGTAAAAAATAGTAAAAATAAATGAAAAAGGGCTTTGCTCACTCTAATAATAATATAAACAGCTGGTGCAAAGACAATATATATATATAAGCCAAGTACCAACCTCACCACATCATGGCTAATGCACTCTGACAAACAATATCAAGACAACCAATCAAACAGGAGCTAACATAAAAGATTTCTCAGCCAATCAATTAAATCATACAATGTTCAAATCCTGTGAGCACTCGGCATGGGAATAAAAAATAGCCAATTAAATGTCATGCTGTTGATGACCGTTGATGCTTCTCTCTCTTAGTGTGCTGGTGCTGTGGCTGCTGGTTACTATGGAGACGATGATGGTGTTTTGGATGCTGGTGGGGATGGTGGGATGATGAGGATGAGAATATTTTCATAATTTGTACCAATTCTATGTGTGTGTGAACTTGTGAAATTATACCTCATAATGCATTAATCAGACAAGTCTATCCCATATTTCATCGGTTATTAACAAAATATTTAATAATAAATGATAAAAAAAATTACCAAGAACATGTGCAAAAATATATATGCATAATCATAGCAGCATGTTATTCTCCACAAAATACCCTGTTAGTCCCATTATAAATTACTAAAGTAAATGACACATGATTTATTTGACAAAACCTTTTCCTTCATTCCATATTTACATTAACTTATATGTATTAGCATTATTTATCATTATCATTATTTCAGTATCCTTATTTTATTGTGCTTCTCATTTCTATCAGAAACTAGAACTCAAGAGGTTCTTAATTACCTGTTTCCTTGGTCTCAGATTATTCTTCCACTCTTTCAGCTCACTTTGATACTGTTCCTCCAACTCTTTAATCTTCTGTGTCTCATGTTCCATTAGCATCTTGCGTTTTTCAGCCTGAAGAAAAACAAGGGTTAAATTTCCCAAGGACAATCTATAAAAACTGATAATTGCTTGGAAAGAATCTATTCACATGAACTATGTGTTACAGAAGTGAAAAAACCTGTATCACTTGCAACTAAATTAACTAATACCACAGAGAGGGAATGTTATTTTATTCTATCTTGCTAGCTCTAGGATACTTTTTCTTTTAGCAAAACAGATGAATATCTTAACAATACCACAATGTTGAACGAAACTGAAAATAAATTAAGCCAAAAACGGTCAAATGCTTTCTTAATCTTAAGCCAAAAGATAATTTATTGTTTTGCATTTTACAAACAAACAAAGAAACAGAAATGTATCATGCTAGAATCTCTTGATGTAATACACTGAGTTGAAGCAAAAATAATTAATATTATTGAATAATAATAATAATAATAATAATAATAATAAATGCTTTCAAAATTACCTGTAATTGTTCAAGTTCTCTAGAAGCTGCATCATTCTTCATTTTTAATTCCTCCCACTGCTTCTTATGTTTTAATTCTTGCCTTCTCTGTTCAGATTTTACACGCTTTTTCTCATTTTCTTGGAACTGAAACACAAACAGAAGTGCAGTGCCAACAACTGCTAAAATCAAGTAAGAAGTGAAACAAATGTACACTATACAGCTTTAACAAAACTGTGACGTCAAACTTTTAAACTACAAAAACGACAGGCAACTCTATTTTACCTCAAGTCAAACAAGAGTAAAAGAAAAAAGCATGAAGCAGAGGGGGGAGCTTACCTCTCTGAATTTGTTCTTCTCCTCATCAGGACTCAGGACTGTGCTTATCCTCATGCTCTGTTTGAATAACTGTTCCCTGGTTTTCAGTTCATTCTTCTGTATTTTGGGTAATCTTTTCTTTTCTAGTATGTGTCTCCTTATCATCTCGTCCTCCTTGTGTGTGTTAATTCTCTTCACTTGCTCCAATTCCTATAAGCAAGAAACACTCAAACATCATCACCTTATTTTACTACAACCTCTTGGTACTTGACAAGCTCTTGGCACATGCTGTGTATCTATAAAGTGACCAATTTAAACATGTTAATCACATTGAATATAAGACATTTTAATATATTTATTTGATACAAAATATCTGATTTAACAATGAAAGTGTCGGTTTGAAAAAATTCTTTTACCTATTGCAAGCACCAGGAAAAAATTTCCATAATCAAAATAATAACTAATTTCATCTTAACATCATCAATTGTCAAGATTACACTAAGAATAAATATAAATACAACACAATAAAAAGGCAAGCTACTTACCCTTTCATGTCTAGTCAACATCTGGTGTCTCTTAAGGAAGAACAAATCTTTGAGTTGACGTTTTGCAAGTTGGTGTTTCTCATGGAGTTGTCTCTCTTCAAGTTCCCAGATAGCTGCTTCTCTAGCTGTAACACGAAAATGACTTAAAAAGTGAGGAACGATTAAACACTGTATCACGCATTTCCCCCCTTGAAACAAACAGTTTGCCAATTCTATAAAAGGAGAACAAAAAGCATATGCTCATGTTCTCACAAATTATGGAAATGATATGATTCTATTTTACAGAAGGGAAAAGATATTACTGAGGAGAGTAAAACTGCAGAACTATTTGATCAAGTTAACTTATGTCTTAGGAGGTTTCATTACAGAAGCCCATTCTTATAATTGTTTAAATAAATTGACTTATCAAATTCAATCCAAAATTCTGCCATTTCTGGTTATTTGCATGGGCTAAAGGAATACCCATGCTCTGAGTAATAAGGTTTATGAATTATTTTCTACTTTTGCAGTTATAAAATAATTATTTGTACAATAACATGTAACAAGTAACAATACCTCTTAATAGCTGTTGTTTCTGCTGTAAGAATTGTTTCTCTAGTAGTGCAATTTTCTCCTTGTGCTGATCAGCAAGTCTCTTCATTGAGCGTTCCAAGTTCTCCTGCTGCTTCTCAAGAAAATTTCTCTCCTAAAATACCACAATTGATAATGTACCAAGGCATCTTTGTTAAACAAATTATATTCGCATATCCAGAACTATTCAAAAGACTATGTAACCTCATTATCAAAATGTGTTCAATGGTCGAGGGGTCACATTGCTTCCCTAGACAAATCAAAGGACTGAAATCAATCCAAATTCCATGAGAAACCAGTAAATTTGCCTAATTATTTATTGCTTCATTTATTGCTCTGATTTGTGCTGACATATACACATAAAAATGCTCCTTTTCAAATCACATTTTAAGTCCCATGATACCTTTTCAGCCTGTTCAATTTCCTTCTCTTCCTTCTTTTTCTTGTATGCTTCCTTCCTGACATCTTTGGGCATCATGTCTACCTGATGTTTCAGCAGTTTCAGCTCATTCTTTAAATCTTCTCTGAACAGCTTCAGTTCTCTCTCCTGAAGTCAAAATACGAATTAAAGTGGAAGATTGGTTTAAAAGTAGGTTAAAGAGACAATATGCATGAAAAAAAAATTTTTCCAGTGTCTATTGGATATTACAATTTGAAGTTCCTAATTCAAAAACACCAAATAAATATTTTGAAGATTTATGAGAACTGATGTCACTATTACATATATATTATTTTTTGGCTTTGCGATATCTTATTAAAAATGCCATTCAATGGCCTTTTCATTAATACAGGGTGTTTGGTATTCATTTGCCAACTTAATGTGTCCAATCAGTATAGAACCAGCAGCAACTCTCTATGCATTGGTGGAAAGATTACTACTACATGTATCAAAGAAGCAAATGAAGAAACACAAGGTTAAATCTGAAAAACAACAGCGTGACATTCTACAACCATAAACACAGCTGCATCATGGAAGCAAAAAGGCAATACAGTATAAATTGTTTGTCCTAACAGTGAATACTGATTAGAATTGTATTGTTCCAAGGCCATAATGACTTACATAAATGTTTAGTGTGACTTTAATAATAGATTTATTTCAATTACATAGTTAAATACAAGTCGCAATGGCTATAAAACAGCAACCAGGACAAAATGAATTGTAAATTAGCTGACATTTAATGTCTCTGCTGCAGCAGTCCTGATTAATACAGTGGAAGCATTCCACATAGTAATTAGCATATAGTGATAAATACCACTTGTTACCTAGACATGTTCATGGAATGATTTTAGGACAATAGTACCAGAAAAAAGACTGCCCTGAGTGCACTGTGCTTCCTGCTTCCATTACAAGGGGCAAATGAAAAGCTTTACTTTGGCAAAGATATTTTCAGATGCAAGTGCTTAATTTTATTTTTACACTAAAATGACAAGAAAATGTTTTTCTTTTACCTGGTCCAGCCTGAGTTTCTTTGCTGCTATATTGAGGTCTTGTTCTTGGGCTTTCTCTGCCTTTTCCACTGCAAACTTCTGCTGCTTGTTCAGGTTCTCAATATCCACCTCAAAGTTCTTTAACAAGTTCTAGAATGAAAAAAAAAAAAATCTTCAATTTAAATTCTTTTCATTTTTTGAAAATTAGTTGTTTTTAATTTTACAAAATGGAAATTAATCTTGAAACCTGTTACCTAGCATTCATAGATTAGCACTGTCCACTTTCCTCAGCCACACAGGCTTATCCTCACTGTGCAAGCAATAGACTCATTCTTGTTTTAATAAAACTCCATGATAATAGTTTCAGAGAATGCATTTCCCTCACAGAAGATGGCAATTTTAACTTAAAAGTCCTGAATGTTCATATTTTACACAAACACCATGTATATACGTAGTATCCCATGGCATATGTAAAATGAGACAGCTTGCACCTATGTATTTTCTTATCACATGCAAACTCAAGTATAAAGGTGATGTCCTTTACCATTGATTCAAGAAAAGAAGACCATTTCAATGCCACCCAAGAAACATTTTAAGACCAAGTGTATTAAAAAATGTATATATCAAGATAAAAAATCTATCCAAAAATGCATCCAAAGAGACAGAATAGAGGAACCTGTGTCGCCTGAAAACTTGCCATCCCATGCCTGATATTTTCATGCTTTTTTGTCCAAAATATACATAATAACACTAAATATCCAATCATGCCATTATTTATAAGAGGGATGCATTGATCATGGCAATGTACACTGTACCTCTATCTGTCTCTTATAGGATTGCAGGTTGTATCGGATATACTAGACAAACGAACAAACAGAAATAAATTTAATATATCATCTCAACAACAATATATTTCCTTGTATACCATTTTCTAAAAACTGAAAAAAATTAATATCAAATGTGCAATCAAAAAGCTAAATATAATAAGTTCAATAAGCTGTTGGTCTGCTGTCTCAATGAGTTGAAAATAACATACCAACCACTTAATTACCTGCCTGTTTTATATTACGGGATGATGGTTTTTATGACCCTATTTATTAATATAGTACAATATACTTATTGTCCAATATGAACACAGGTATAGGTGCTCATCACTCGCTCATTCATGCAAACATGCACCACTCACTCATTCAGCCAAACACGTGCGCACGCACACATATCTACACATTCTAATTACAGTCCTCACCTGCATTTCTTGTTCAAACTTCTTTTCTTGCTGTTCCCTGGCATACTGTGCCTTGTAGACCAGTTCCTGGTACTGTTTGTTTTCAACCTTCTGTAGCAGCTTCAGCTCTCTCAAGTCTTGCTTCCTGGAAAACAGATAGTGTGCTAGATGTGAATTCTGAGAGTGTGGTGAGAAAGTATATTGGTGAACATGCAACATTATACCACAAAAGATGGAAAAATCTTGGCCTTGAAGGGTGCATGCTGCATGAAAAAAAAAAAAAAAAAAAGACTGGTTGTAAGATGACTGGAGTAAGAAATTGGAATGGGTGTGAGACGGGACTCGTCATAAGTTATGATTGACTGTAACAAAGGACTAGGTGTAGAAAGGGACTGAGGGAGACAGGATTTGGTGAAAGAAGGGAGAATCAGACAAGTGAGAGACAGGACTGTATCTGTCATAATGTTGAGCAGTATACTTAACTAGGCTGGTCCTCTCTAAGAGGTCCTAAAATATAATATCTCTACAGGGTTTTTATTCCCTTTCACAAGTTATCAACAAATTTGCTTCATGTTAAAATAATTGGCATATGCATGTTGGATGTGGGGATTCTGTTTAGGCAACTTTCTTCTGTAGCAATCAGACTAATGAAATATCAATCTCTTAAAAATAACCAGTCCATGTAAGTGTACCACTCAATTTTAATAAAAGGGCCAAAGCTCCTGATGGCCTGTCTGTACTTGTGACTGCTTGTCCACGGGTTCTTCAGACACAATATGCAGAAAAGTCAACATTTGAGAGTCTGAAAACTTGATAATTAAGTACAAATCGGTACCAGGGCTGGATAACACAAATGTAAATCTCTATCAAAACAGTACATAAAAACAAAATGCAGGAAGGACCAGCCAGTGTAATCCATGAGGCCTTGAACTTATCCATGTCACCATGTCTTATGTGGTAGTATTCCAAGAAAAGCATGCTTCGCAAGGCTTGAAAATTGGTTGAGACAAAATATGAAATAAGACCCAACATGAAGAGAGGATGATAAATTAGTAGCTTAAGGCCTGATTTCTGAAGATAAGTTACATATATCTCTTGGAAACTTTGATAGTATCTCTATTTTTTTCAACCCCTGGCACTGTCATAAAAAAATACCATCTGTAAAACATTAGACTGAAAAGAAGTCTGCACTCCTGCATAAGAGTTTCCAGCAGCTTTATGAAAACATCTGTTTAAAATGTCACTCTGAGGTCAGTGTCCAACTGGACATAAATTCTTGTTCCTAACAACTAAACCAGAGATTTGAAGGGCTTAGAAAAAGGCCATGAAACAAAAGTATCCTTTGAACAATAGGAAAAATAGTGACTTCCTTTTTTAACTCACAACAAACCCATATATACATGTAACTGTACTGTAAATATTTCATTCCATTCAATGACAATGGCATGTAACCAATATCACTAATATAATAATATTAAAGACAATCCCAATAGTGAAGAGATATTTAAAAGCTATTTTCAGGCAATATCATAAAAACGTGAATACTACCTACTAAGACAAAACCCAAGGTGTCTGACTAAGCTACTCTGCTGCAGAATGAAAAGAGTACCAGTCAGTTTTAAATGTTCTCATTTTCTCTGACAGATTACCATAGAATATAAAGAGTGCCCATCCTTAAACTGGAAACTGATAATAAAGCTGACTGGTACATTTCTCCTCTGACTCTAATAAATCTAATATTCACGACTTAAAAAAAAAAAAAAAAGGCAATCAAAGGAAATATCAATTTTTATAGGGCTTAATGATTCAGAAATGTTTTAATTTTGTTAGGATGTTATGGGATGAATAGATTTATAAATAACCTAAATGAAATGTGCGGGATGAACAGATTTATAAATAACCTAAATGAAATGGTGTGATTTCACGCAAATGCATGCCAAATGCTTCCATTAAGCCAATGTAGAGCTTCCTATATGACATTATAAATGTAATTCAGTTGTCTTGTTAACATATAACCAGTTCCAGCTTGCTTTTTCTATTATTTTTTTTAACCAAATGTGACAGTAACACCCTTTCTTTAACCCATGCTTCGTCTGCCCTTTCAGGTAGATTATATAACCTATAAAGAGTGCCTACCCTGCAAGGTTCATTTGGTGGTATGCATCTGTAGCTAAATCCATAGCAATCCTATTCAATACACCAACAGTCTGTGGTTTCTTAAACAAAGGGTTACCCTTTTTGTCCAAGCTACCCAAGCTTTTACTTCTCTGCAGCACATTTTGGAAAGGAACATAACTCTCATCATCAGCAGTGTCCAGGTAAAATCGTAGCTTCTCTAATTTCAAATCAGACACATGAAAAGTGTGGTAACAATCCTTCTCTGGCTCTGCTGGCCACAGCTCTTTCATCACTTCATCAAAGTTCCAGGGAAGCGGGAGCAGTGGTCCCGTCATGAAGTTGAGAAAGTTTGAAAACTTGGACTCGGTGTATGTCAAGGGGAATTTCAGGTCAGTGTGGTGGTGGTGACTGGTTGATAGATGTTCTTGGCTACGGCACAATCTCTGGAGTCTGGGACTCAACGCGGCCAGAGATGATTTCCCAGAACTGTGCCCAATGTTTACTTTGAATGGCCCATGGAGTGACAAGTCTCCAAATGTGTTCTTCTTTGAACTATCAACTAATAACTGAGATCTACCCATGGATCCGTATCTCTTTAATGTCTGATTATTTATCTCTAGTTGTTTAGAATCTGAGGCTGATCTAGTGTGTGTTTTGTATGGCAGAAGTCTTGGGGACTCCAGGGTAATTGGATGCCTTAAGCCACTGGACTTTTTAACACCATTTAATTGGGATGATATTGGGGAATAGTGTCCTGATGTCATGGTCTGGGTTGAACTGTTTCCAGAGTCTGAACTAAGTGGGGCCTGGTCTCCATTGTAATCTGTAATCTGTATCTCTGGTATGATGAATGCCTGTAAACCATACTTATTTCTAAAAGATTGAATACTTTTGTCACTGCCATCATCATCATCATTCTCTATGATTTCAGAATCAGAAGACCTCCTGGGTTTACTGTCCAGGGCAATGGAGCTATTCAAATGTGACACTGGTCGGCACTGGCTGTGCATCTTTTGTCGGTTCTTACTACTTTCCCTCCTAGAAGCTAAGCGAGGGGAACGACTTGGTTCTCTGATCAGTGGAAAAGTCTGAAAGTTCTGTTCCTTTGCCTTCTTTTCTGATGTCCTATGTCTACCTCTTGACCTGTGTTTGGATTTACATAAATCCACAATGTCTTCGTGGGAAGCAAAAGGAGAAAAACTACTTTCCCCTGAATGCACCGAATCATGACTGAGTGCCTTAGAAAGAGATGTGTTATATTTCTCAGTGGCTTCAAAGCCCCGTGAATTTGTATCTTCCACTAACATCTGAGGGTAAACCTCTACTACAGAGGGCGTTAGTGTGAAACGCTGACTATGATTTCTAGACTGTGATGATTCTGTCATCATGATTTTTCACCATTCTCTTGATGCACTTAATCCATTACTTCAGAGAAAACCACCAGTGACCACACGACATGGTCTTTCTACCCTTTTCCCCTCCAAAGGTGACCTCAGATGCCATTTCAAACAGCAAAAATATGTGTATATGGTGATAAAGTGGCCATTTACAACTCCCAGTAACTTGACACCTCTCCTTACTATACCAGTGCATGAATCGGTCCCAAATCTAGGTGGAGTAAAATTTAATAACTAGCAGAACAAGCTGTCGATTTAATGTTAAACTCCAAGTAACAACACTGGCCAATCCCAGCTTCTTGTATAGCAGACATCATTAGCATATGACTGTAGCAGTTGTGTTCTCATTTTCACACCTGTTACACACTAACTTAACAAAATACATTTTTATTCTATGTTATTACTCTCAACAATTCTTGGATTTTAAAACACATTTAATTACATGTGGCAACCAAGATGACCAACAGGGTTTGGGTGGCACTTTTAAGGCATATTACTTTTGTTATGTTTGGTCAAAATTGGAATCCTTACCAAGTATTATATGGACCTGTACTGTTGACAACATCATATACAGTCAACTCATTTAAGAAGATAAAACTCTTGGACACTTCTCTGGTCATTGCACTGTCATATCCCAGGGATTGGTCAAGAAAAAACAGGCGGAACACCTTCTGGACCAGCTTCATTTGGGAATATGAAATCGCTCTTTTGAGAGTAATTTTTCTTTTGAGCTGAAGTCCTTTTACAAGTTTATGCCATTAGAGAGTCCTGTTTCCAGCTACAGATATCAGGCAGAGGTAAAAAAAAAACCACAGACTTTCATAGTCCAGGGCTTCATTCAACAGTTCTCTGCAATATGTTAGATTTAAGACTGCAAAACTTTCTTCAGCAAAGGTCCAAACCCTACTTTTCTATTCTCTCAGTCCATTTCTAAATGAGTGTGAAGATAGTGCCATGTGCCCTCAAAAGCAGTTTGGTAACTGTACAGCATTTCTATTTTTTTAAAACACTGTTGCAAGCATTTTGTGACTCTCAATTTTTTCCAAGTATCCAATAATGCATCCCAAAGAGAAAATAAATCTGCCTTCCATCTTAAATGAACCAGGTCAACACAATCCTATTGGAAATTGCATAGCTTTATGTGACCATTTCTGGTGACATAATACATCTTCCATCATTGTGACTGGCTGCAGATGTGAGACTAAAGCAATCAACCTCATATCCATGCTACCCATTCCCTCCAAATTATCTTGAAGATCAGCTATGTCAATATGTTGCTCAGTCAACAGAATATTTGGCAATGCCATGAGATCATGATGAAGTCATGGGTTACACAAAGAATGGCACAAGTGCACAAACATATGTCACAGTCTGTATTAGGTAAGCTGATCTAGGAGTAGTTATATGTATATAAACTGAGAGAGAAAATACCATCATCGATCAGTACATCTAATATGCATATCCTGCATATATTCATGTGTGTCACCAGCAATAAAACGTTCAGTTCAGAGACAAGTGAGCAGTTTATGAGAGTTGGTATAAAGTTGGTGGTGTTACGGCATGTTAATGGGATAGTTAAATTCTGCCCACCTCAGAACTATGCATACTAAACATACCCACCCCCCATAGCATTTCTATTGATATGGCTTTTAATGACAATTAAAAACCCAACCTTAATTCTTTTTTAAGAGGGACAGCTTTTAAGATGACAATAATATGTACTGAAGGTGACAGCTTGCCACAGGGCAAAAAGGCAGATTTCCCAGAATCCTCAGTCCTGGTCATATGACCCATGTAACAAGATGTTGCCACTGGTGATAAATGTCCTATCCATGCATCATTTATAGCATTAAATGGATTTGCATTTGGCACTGAAAGTCACTTTATGTTATCCTCCTTGAATAATGTGCTTCTTTAGCACAGTTAATTTTCAATTACATCCTTGTATTGCAGGAAGATAATTAAGAATGATTTAAGAGCATGACTTCAGTTCAAATTACTAAATGACCAAATATAGCAGACATGAGCCTAGGTTAAAAAAAAAACTCTAAACATTTATCACGACAGATCTTGACGAATCTCAGGAACCATCAAAATTGAATAAAAAAACGCGGAATTACGCATTTCCACAGAAAAAGCTCATGTCTGATATAGGTAAGGCAATGCAACCTCCTAAGTTTTAAAATTATTTTAATTGAAGAGAAGGACAGTTATTGCCAATTACTTCATGATTTTTTGCAGGAGCGTTAAACAAGCCCTTTTTTTGTAATTATTTATGGGTGGATTTTTTTCCAATAGAAATGTCTGGGATCAGAATAAAACCAATTCATTAATCTGCAGCTCAAAAACTGACAGACCGTAAGTGTACACTACAGCAAGTAATACCCTTTTAAAATCTGAAGTTTGCTGGAGCAAGTGTGAAGGCATTTATTCTGTTCCCTGGTCTGGTTACGGCTTTTTAGACATAAACAGAAACATGTTTTCAACTGTGATTTTAACTATTAATGAACAATAATATCAGTGGGCTTATAAAGATGGTTATGAAAATGAAAACCCTAGTATGATAATACATGTCAGCATCATAGTGGACGTCAAGGCTACATCATGGTTTAAGCACCATGTTCAAATCAAAGCCAGTTTTTAAATACTATTTTACCATATGAATGGACTCCTATTAATTGTTAGTTCATTACCAAATTCATGCTTAACTAGAGATCTCTCCAACAGGACAGACTTGCACCTAGGAAAAAGCACTTTTTTTCTCTCTAAACGACAGTCTATCCTGATTATGTAGGTAGAACTTTTTAAGATAGCTTCTCTTTTACAAACAAACCAACACCAATGAAAACAGAATCAAGTTAGTTGGCACAGATAATTCACATCACCCTACATCACTCACCTCATTTGGTGTTCCTCTTTACTCTTGTTTTCTTCTCCAGCAGCCACTACCCGGGTTGTCTTGGATGTGACAACAACACCATCTATCATATATTTACGGGTCTTGTTGATGGTGCGATAATCTGCTTGTTTCTGACCCTATTGAAATAAATAATTCCACGTTAGACCTAATGATTCTTACAGCAATATCTCTCATGATACAAAAAAAGGCATCTTTAACATATTGCTCTTTTTTCAGACTAGCTACCTCATACTACATTTATTTTAAAAAAGGTACATTAACAGTTACTCACGTCTCTGGATTTTGTTGTTCCTCTGCCTTCATCTGACCTAGATTCCCTCTTTTCATTCTTCCTATATCTGACTCCTTCAATCCTTCCATCAGGAGCCCTGTTTACCTCTCCTTCTCTACCAGTGTCTCTGGGTGGGGTGGGAGCTTTTTCCCTTCGTGGGGAATCCCTACCGACAGAACCATTGATCAGTACAGAAGTGTCCGGTGGAACAGCCTGGTTATTTACAGTGACATCAGGCCGACTGTTCTTATTGGCTTTCATTGCCTCTCGTAGACTCTGTGGCCCTTGTGAATCATGTTTTTCATTTTCTCTAGTCTCTCTGACTTTTGACCTAGAGTCATCTTCCTCTTCATCAAGGTCAGTGACCATGACCTTGCCACCTGCCTCTTCAACTGGAGGGGGCAGAACTGTGTCACTGACTATGTCATTAACAGTGTCCAAGACCACGGCTGGTATCGAGGGCTGTGTGGTGTCTGACTTGATAACCTCATCAACGATTTCATCCAGTATAGCCTGTGCTACTTGCTGGTGTATGGCTTCCATCTCTTTCCTCCTGTATTCATCTGATATATCACTGGAGCTTTCCGACTGAAAATGGATAAACTTATTTTATCAATATTTGCCTTAAAATATTTTTCTCAAAGAAATCAAAAAACTGACAGCTAAACATATAAAAACTTCAAAATAAAAGTGCACAATATGATGAATATAAATTAGATAAAACATTACAAACAATAAAACAGCAATTAAAAAGGAATTGAAAACCAAGGAATGTGAAGCATGCAGTTTGGTTCTATATAAAATGTAACATAAGTTAAGCTGCTACTTTTGATACTATGTCAATAGATATTTCTTGTTAACTGATAGGAAATTGTTAGATAAGAAGCTCCTTCCTTGGCTAGTTGTCCTCTAATTTACCTGTGTAGTATCAACTGACACAACTGACTTCTCACTGCTGCTTGCACCAATACCTTCATCCATAGACCTCTTATCATCTTGTTCTCTTTGTTCTTCTTCTTTCTGAACTTCTCCCTTACTTTCTTTATCTACCTCTACCACTCCTTCATCATTGTCTTTAATTTCAACAGGTTCTGAGGTGTCATTTTTGGTTTCAACAGTTTCTAAAGCCTCATTTTTGTCTTTGGTGGTTTCGTCGGTTTTTACATTCTCAAAGTTTGTTATTTCGCCTGCTGGCTGATCAGTTTTTTCTGTTATTTCTACACCACTAGGTTCTTTAGGCACCTCCACCTCAGGGCTTTCTCTAGGGGAAGGTGTCACCTCCCTTGGGGAAGGAGAGGGCGTTCTAGGAGTGATGGAGGACTGAGAGCTCTGTTGTGAAAGCAAAGGAGGGCAATGTGTTAGTTGAGAAAGCAGAGTCACACTGCCGATGCAATCTCAGCAAAGTGATACAGTGTGAAAAGAAAATGGATTAATGTTCCCTTCCACCACAGATGTTATAAAATTAAACTGCATTCTGTTTTAGGTAAAGAATCTTTTCAAGCTAAACTTACAAAAAATTAAGCTAATAAACCAGACGACAATAATACTCACTCTAAGACAGAACTTAAATGATTTATGTTATCGTCAATACCCATTTACAGTTATCATATGGAAGTGAAACTAATAAATAAAGTACAAGGATTATGACATAAGATTAAGAATAACTATACCATAACCCATTCTATTAATCTTATTAATTTCAGTGTTTCTAGGAGTTTCAAGATCCTTGTCAAAAGTTTAAAGTGTACACAAAACCTACCCTCTCTTCTTCATCAAGTTTCTCAAATTCTCTATCCAAGTCTTCAGATATCTTTGAGACATCCCCGATGGAGTTAGTGTCTGAATCAGTGTCTCTAGGCACGGCCTAAAAAGAACAAAGTGTGTCCAATGATTCATCATATGTGTTAAATTTGGATTTAAGTCAACAGTATGGCCTAATCACCGTTTTCTCACGAAAACTTACACATGGAACCAGTCTATAGATAATAAGTCTAGTGGGGTGTATTTTTGAATTTTAGAAACTTTTCTGTTGAAAATTTTTTCAAACAACCTTATAACTTTTTTCTTGGAAAGTCCCTTTTAAATTATAACTGCCTTAAACGTGAACTATTCAAATATACAACCCTCGGTAATCACTTTGCCTATATGTAATGCAAGAACATCTGGGTATTAATCTCATTTGCCATGATATTAAATCTCAGCTTTTTGAATATATGACAATGTGTGCAAAATAAATAAAGAAATGATGCAGACGTAATATCTTTGTAAGTCACATAGAAACACAGTCATGGGAATGATTGTATACTTGAAAAGCCTATGGGCATAATAGATACTATTTCTAATATTCAGTTTCCATGCAAAAGCTTTTGTCAGCATGCATTACTCTTTACTCTTCAACTTGCTTTTTTGTATGTACACGTGTGTATATGTGTATATATGCAGAGAACAGATAGAAGAATGCTAGAGTATTATGCATCACCAGGAAAGCACTGTGGTATGGGAGGCTAGTGTTTCTTTTGCTCTAAACTACTGGTAACTCTAAATATTCTTAGCACAGAGTAAAGTTTTCCAGACAATGTAAATATATACATATTAAAATAAACTTGGGTATTGGTACCAGACTGATGAGCATGGTTTCAAAAGTTACAACATAAATAAATTGGTCTGCTGACTGGAGATAAACATAAAGCTTGCTCCCCTACACCTGAAAGCACAAGCTGCTGCAAAGTAAATGAAGACATAGATTAGACTTGGGGGGAAAAGTCAAAAACTCAATCGTGGGATATGTCATGACCTCTGTTTCTTCCAACTCCAGTATGTCATCCATAGATAAAGTGTCCTCATCTCCACCCTGAAAGGAAACAGTTTAGCTGATCACATTAATATCAGCTTTTATAGATACATATAGATTAACATGTTGCTCTACATCTATAAATAGATTACCAGCCTCTCACAGGAAGTAAAGGAACTGCCTATATTCCCAGTATGGCATTCCATTATGCACTTATCTAACACTGCTGACAACTAAGTTTTGGCAAAGTGTGACAATGACAAATAGACACAAAACATGATTGGGTTAAAGTGACATATTGTGTGGATTTTACAGCTTAAGTGATGAATGATTTTGGATTTAATAAGAGACAGCAGGAAATACTCTAATTTTGATAATATAGTTTATGCAACTGTTGTTCCTTCTTATAACATGTGAAAAGTCACTTATCTTAGAATGTGTTAGGTGTGACAAAGCATCACAATACCTTGATCTCCTCCTCCTCATCCAAGTCCTGCACCTCTTCAATAACCTCTGCCTTAGCCTCAGCCACCAGGTCTCGTATTGGTTTGATGTCTGTGGCATCTTTGATAAAAACATGCTAGAATAGAAAGGGAATGTCGATTTGAGTATATTTTAGAGAGAGAGAGAGAGAGAGCGCATGTGTGTTGGGGTAGGATGAAGAGAATGTCTAATAATGAGCATACCTAAAAATGAGTACAAAATTTGAAGAATTCTTTTTAATAATCTGATTTATCAAGGACTTTTCACTTTACCTGCAGCAGTTGCTCCATGTTCATTCTGTGTTCTGGATTCTTCACCAGGCATTTGGAAAGAAAGTCATGGAATTCATTGCTCCTGAAAAGAGGTAAAAATCATGTTTTAAAAAAATTATCTATAATGACTAATACAATACCATACTAATAAATCCATTTATATTTTCATGACTTCAGGTTTACAATTTTTATGACCGCTGCAAGATAGTCAAACTTTATCAATATTACACTGAAAAATCAAAATAAAACCCTGAAATTATTCCAAATCATGAACTCTACACCTTCAGCAATAAGCCTGCATGTCCCAGATGCAAAAATAGCCATTTGATTGATTCAGCTAGACATTGGTAAGGGAATAATGCATATCAACTTTTATTAATGTAACAATGATTTGGGGGATATCTTACCATTTCTTTCTGTTAAGTAATGTAGGAGGGTCGTTTTTCTGGATCTTGATAAGAACTCTCATTGGATGCATCTCATGGTTTGGTGGCTCCATCTCCGCAAACTCAATCATGGTGCAACCTGCAGAGACATCAAATACCTTGATATTTGAAAGTCCTTTAAAATAATATTTACAATGAACCTTACAAACTACTAGGGCCAGTTGTTCAAATATTTCATACTGAAGTCACAAGATCAATCACAAAATCTTATTATGCAAAAAAATCTCAATGTGCTTTTTCAGCCCACATTAAAATACCACACCAGTCCCATTCACTGACACCTGACGGCACTCAAGTACTAACCTAGAGACCAAACATCAGCCATGTGGTCATATGGGTTTTCCTTGTAAGTCTCACAAAGGATGACTTCTGGGGCCATCCTAGAGAAAAATGAAACACAATCAAAAACAGTTCACTAAATGCACATCTATATATTATGTTTTACTGAAAAATGGGTCCATTTTGAAATGAATGTTAATGGTTACAATACTTGCTTACAGTAACAATTGGCATTAGAAAAATGTATTCCCCTACACCAGCTTACCAGTATGGTGTTCCAATAAAAGAGTCTCTTCTCTGCCTTGTCTTGGTGTTCTTAGCTGACACACCGAAATCAGCTGAAAGAAAAGAGAGAGAGAAATATGCATCTATAGATTATTCGTTATCAAACATACATTTCAGGCACTAAATTTCACATCTATTTCACAAAGTGACCCCATTAAAAAACCTATTGTTGATAAATTTTGCAAACAGCCATTAATGTATTGTTTTACTGATTGATACTTTTAATCCCATATATCAACCACGTTTCACTCACCCAGCTTAACCTGGCCCTCCAGTGTTAATAACACATTCCCTGCCTTCAAGTCCCTGTGGATTACTTTATTCTCATGGAGGAACTTCAGCCCCTGGCACATCTGATGTGTTATGGCTTTAATCTGAGTCTCGTTCAGGCCTTTTTCTAGCTCTAACATTATACTGTCAACTGCGCCGCCAGCACAAAATTCTATGTAAATCTGAAATATATAAACATTTAAAATTACTACTTTTGTTTTCATAATTGAATTTTTTTAGTTAAATTATTAAACAAAGGGCCCTGAAATGCAAGTCACTTCTGTTCATCATAAACAGAGCACTTGTCATTTAAAATAAAGCATGAGAGAAGATTAGTAACAAATTATACTGGTGCATAAATGTATGTTAGTATGATGACTAAAAATCAAACATAACGAAAATATAGTGCATAGATCTACATACATCACAATGTTAAGGCTCTGTTCTGTTCAATTTCAATATGAAACAATGTGCAACATATAACATTACTAGTATCCAGTTTGCCTTAAAACAGACAAATGCCCCATCTGTTATTCTCATAGACAGTACATGTGGGTGTTAAAAACACAATATGGTTTCTTTAGACTCTTTCATGGGTTCTGACTTTTCACAATTTATGACTTCTCCAACATCTCTATCACTCACTGTAATGACTTGGGGAAATTGTGTGGCACACAGATAAGTTGTATCGATTTCTAACTGCTTGGAGACTGCTACAAATAAACTAGCCAATAATGCAGCAAATTGGCACTGTATGCTCCATGCACAACTTAATCAAGAGCCCTTCCACAATATTACCACTGTGTTTTCCAAACTTTTTCTTTACTTGATAAACCTTTTAAAGATTTCTGTTCTTATTTATTAGCTAAAGCGGAAACTCTACTGCCCTTTTTGTCAATGGGCAAGAAGAAATGAGTAGCTTTGGCAAGTGGAGAATACTAGGAACAAAGCATGATGTGGGTGGGCTATCAGTAAAGAATAAATTCGAAATTGAAAGATAATATTATATACGCTATGCTTCAAAATTTAAACTGATTAAGACCTCTGCAATATCTATTAAATCTTTCTTGTCATTTAAAATATAACACAGAAAAAAGATCATTGTTTTCTCACAAATGTTTCAATTGTTCAACTTCACACAACCAATAAACTTGACTGAATTCAAAGCCAAAGTACTGTGTGGCTGTTTTATAATTTACAAAATTTAGACAGAAGGCATCATAAAGGGTTGTCTAACATGACAATGTAATTACCAACAGTAGTTTTATTTATGCAGTCAAATCAGGCACTAACAAGATATCATTCAATACTCATTGCTTCTGTGAATTCTGGAATGACATTCTGTCACAATTTATATGACACAGTTTGTAGGTACCATTATGTTTGCTTGTTTGGCTCCCGGGCTGTTAAAACAGGCATCAAGATAACTAGCATATACAGACTAAAACAATTAATTTACATTCATTTGCTTTTCAGAGCTTTACTTAACAATGGGCAGAAAGATGTGAAAATCATCAGAGCTGTGAGTTCTGCTACTTTTTAAAAACATGTTACAGCTTGCGTTAATCATAACACCATATTCAAAAGCAGTCCAATATATTATGTATCACTGTCAACCAAACCATATGTCTACCATATACTGTGACAATGTGTTAGGTGTGACTTGTCAAAACTACAAGCCTTGTGGACTTTATGGAGTTGAAAAAAACTCTGCAAGGAATGAATCGAAGAAGTATTGACCTAAATTTGAAATATTCATGACCCTTTCTTTTCGTAACTTGCACCCATTGTGTGCAGGATATGTGTTACAGTTATATCATACAATGTACTGTAATGTATATGACTAAATAAACACCTGGATGGAACACAAATGACTTCTAAGTTGACTTGAATTTCATGCCAGTCTTAATAATCATTTTTCTTAAATGCCTAAACTGTTTGCAATTGAACTCTTTTACAGGCAACTTATTGGCTTGCAACACTTTTCTTTGCTCTTCTTACAATCCTTGTCCAGGACGTGTAGGTTATTGCCCAAGGCCATGAAGGAAATCAAACTTGTTTTTATATGGGACTGTGGCTGCCATTGATTCCTAGCATCTTACACCACACTATCTACACAAAGTGTATGTAATCAATGACCACATTTTGCTTCCACCCTGCTTCATTTATTCCTTAGGATAACCAAAATGCAGTCCACTTTCATTACAAGTTTGACTGATTTCTTCACTTCATGCTATGTACTGTGGGTGATGTAATGCAATCAACTACCTATATGACCTGTGTACAGATTAGGCCATCCCAAAAATAGTTCAGAACTGCTCTCAGATTGCATCGATGTGCCCTTTAGCATTACAAAGAGTGTGTATTGTTTGGGTCTCTAGCTACCCAGTACAACAACCCATCCATGCATGGGGATACAAACCTACTGTCTAGCTGACAGATTTCTGACACAGTAGGCAAATGCTTCAGAAAACACATCTTTTGCAGGACAACAGGTACATTCAGCAATGGAATGGATTTGATCTAATCTGACTGTATTAAAACAATTAATTTTTGGTATTAAGTTATTTCTTATGCAACTTCATATCTTTTTGTATATAAAATCATTCCGAAACCATGTTTTGTTGTAAACTTATATAAACATGGTTTATTAACAAAACATAAATTGGTACGAATTACTCTTATTTCTTTTAATTGAAAAATAGTGCATGACAGAGTTACTTAAGTTAAGAATAAAAGCAGAACTTCATTCATTAAAATCTGACAACTACAAGTAGATATTTCCATTTCAAAATTCAATCACAACAGCTGAAATCTCCCCTAAAGGTCCAGATAATTGCATTTCATACTCTTGAGCATCACAATTCTATTAGCATTGACAAAACATTGATTACACCATATATATCTAGTAAATTAATCAGGGGCTGAAGTCAGAGCAACTCTTAAGATGATAACAGTTACTTAAGTCACATTTACAGTATCCAACTAAACAACTGAAAAAAAAAAGGTTAGTTATTTGGGCAAGCTAAGTGTGTACCTGGAAAAAAAATGGGGATCCTCCTCGTATTTCAATTCTCTTATTTTAATTGTGTATATTTCTTTTATATTACAAAACAACCTTGCTTCTACTGTAGTTTTTTTGACATGTATGATCCAGTTCCCACGGTGTAAACAGGTCACAGATAACCTTGGTTACAGAATGACACCACCAGACTTGGCATTGTTTTTCTGTCATTAAGGGCAAGTAGAATGGCTGCTCAAGAATTTATGATAATTTTAGGACCAGGGCACATAAAAGTTTTCTGTGACTAGAGCCCACTGTACAGGCACCATACTTGTAAAAACTGTAATAATTTACAGATGGTGTCCCTAACTGGGACATAACAATCATAAATCTTTTATCCAAAGATAATTTGTGAAGGCAAAATGTGTTGCTTGTACACAGATGAAAATTTTCTTACTAACACTCCCCCCCCCCCCCAAAAATAACAATAAAATAAAAAATAAATAAAAATTCAAAAAATATCTTTGTAGATGTGACACAATAAATAATGATTACAATTACATTTATCATATGTAGTATTACAAATATGCATCATTACAATAAATGTCGTATGAGAACCACATGCACTTTACATGAACATTTATAGGTGAACATGAGTGCACTAGTAACTTCCATTACTACACTGATAATAATATTACCAATACTATGTGCATTGTGCATAGATAAAAAGATTAGTTCATTATTACATCGGTTAATTCTGCCATGTTAATAACGCAAATTAACACTTTTCTCAAAATATCCTACTGAATGAACCCTGGAACCCATTTCTTGAAGCCACCAGTAGTTGACAACTTTTGTAATTTAAACACTGCTGTACACTACATTAACTTACTAGGATATATTTGAAGCAGAGATTCAGTAAGAAAACCCAGTAACAAGAAGCTGTTAACCAAAGACAGCTTTTTGAAATGGGGTCCCCTGGTTGAAGAACCTACCATAAGATGTTCAGCCCATAGGAAAGCCTCATATAAACCCACAACATTGGGATGTTTGCACTCTGAGAGGATGTCAATTTCCACTGTGAAATCTTCCAGGTCTTCTTCATTTTTGAGCTCCACTTTCTTCAAAGCTGCAAACTGCTTCCCCTCCTTGTGCTGGGCCTGATACAAATAAAAACGGTATGATTTAATTGTAATGGTAACTAAATTTCATAAATAGGTAATCTTTTACTGCACTGAAGAAAATACATACATGTATATGTTTCATCAAATTGTGGTAAAGTTAACTTAATGTGGTAATTTCCCAACAAAGAAATGTATCTAGAATTATAATTTTGATTATATATATATAATTTTAACCATTGTTCCACGGCTGCATATTAATAAAATATATATATTTTTTATTAATGTGGCCTTTGCTCTACCTATGCCCTAGTCTTACAGATGTGTTGTAATAGTCATCTACTGCAGGTGGACAGCATAAAACTACAAATTACAACAGACAATTAACACACTTGAACTGAATTTCATTTTAAGATAAATCAAAGTTACTAATAAAAAAAAAGACTTTTATTCATAGTCCAGGTCCGTAGCCAGGGATGGTTCAAGGGGGGCCCGGGGGTGAAGGAACTGTCTTTTTTGTCGGAAAAAAAGTCTGCTCTGGGTAAAATTTTATATACTAGTAGGTACATGAGGATTTCATGGTAAAAGTGCCACTTTTTTTCCAAAAAAGAACCTCTCTTTGAAATTGCTGGCTATGGGCCTGCAGTTGTTCCTGAAATAACAATCCTCCATTTTCTGGTTCCCAGATCACTAACTATCTGCAATTTCTAACTAACAATAAAACTTTTTACCTGCCTTAGATGTAAACATGCCTATACTTTTGATAGCGTTAAACTAAAAAGCCCTTCTGTTATCCAAAAAGATGGGCAATCCCAACCAGGGTCTACCCTTCAGATTTCCAAACAGCTTTCTCAACACATGAAGATCTATGTGAAAAACCAAATGATTTTGATCTGTCAAAAGAGGTCCCATTTGGGATTGCCTCATTGAGTTCACAGCAAATATCAATGGTTTTGATGTCCTAGTGTCAGAACAAGGGTACTAATTGAAACTGGCATGTGCCCTGGGAATATGGGATTCAATTACTCTTTGGTTTTATCAGATGTCAATGCACATTTGGATATTCTTTTGTCTTTTTTTTTCATGAAAATCATGGGATCTAATCATCTTAATTAAAAACATGGGTAGCTGGATAAGGAAATCAGAATATATCTATAATGTAATTTATCGGATGATACTCTGATTGCTTTGTTAAGTTCAGAAAAAAGGGCATTTCAATATATACAGTTAATGAAATTAAAAATTATCTTTTCAATAATTTTGTATGTGTATTTTTTACTTGACTACAATAGATATCCATGATGGATAAATCTATACAAACACTAACATGTATCTTTTAACACTTAACATAACAGTATCTGCTTTTATACCTTTAAAGTAAACTTCTATAGGCATCTTGAATGAATCTCCATTTAAAAATTTTATTTCTGAATCCCAAGTAATGTAGAATAACCTTCGTACACGCATAAATACAAGACCGTTTATTTCTCCCAGTGAACTAGTAATCTATTATCTACACATACAATCAAACCATTAAATAACCATAACATTATCTACAGGGTAGTAAATATGCTCCACCCTTTCCAAAATATGCAATATTCAACCTGAAATTCATGTTAGCACTAGTACTTCTAGTAAAACCTTCCCCTGTACACATAAACTGGGCTTCAGCCAAATCATCATTTGGATCTTCATAATCAGAAAATTCTCTTTTGAGCACCATCTTTGATACTGTGGTTAGCTTTTAGGGGATAATTTCAAGTTGACCTATATCAGATTTTATCACACTGACTTTTGTGTAGAGTCTTTTCGTGTCACCAGTTCTTCAGGTTTACGATAGATATGCCACAGTCAACAGGTACAAGTGCTATTTTTACTATCACCTGTGACAAAAATGTAACCTCCTAATTAAGGATGTAATAAACTGGTTCTCAAAAATTCCCCTTTGAGCACTAGGATGGAATATAAATTTTAAACATTTTTTTCAATCTTGGAAGTTGTCCATGTATCAAAATGAAATCTTCAGTGATGATATCTGTATATTTCTGGCTGGATGACAAGGCCAATTTTCCGAAGTGGCACTCATCTGATGTTTTGATCTACTACAGCAAAGATGAAATCCATTCAAGCTAATGTGACATGTTGCCTGACACACTCTGTCTTTACAAATAGCATAAGGAGGAAAAGAGAACATAGGGGGAAAATGACCAATGAGACCCATGCCGGGGTCATCACTCAAGACTGGTTGACTGATTAAAATTAAATTTTAAAAAAATATATCAAATACATCACATAACTCTTTCTAGAATGCCTTTTTTATTTACTAAAATTAAATCTTAATTTGATAAACATTTAAATCTGGTGTGTTCGTTCTGATAAAAAGTATTTAACTTCATTCTAAAAATAGCTTTCACTTTTCATTAAACTGATACCATTGTTTACTTTGCCTCTGAAACTGGTTTGTTCATTTAAATGAAAAATAAAGTGCAGGATATCTGTATGATGATTCAATGTCATGAGAGCAAGAAGATAAGAGTGTTGATAAAAACCGCAACAACTTTTCCATTGTACGCAGCCTAGTAAAACAGAACATATATCACGACTGGGAATTGTTTTTCTTTCTTTTTAAACAATTGCATTATTCATAACCTAAAGTAAACTGGCATAAGGGGGGAGAGGTAAAAAAAATAATAAAAAAGAAAGGAGCCTTACATGACAAGTCCTAGTAATCAAGTGGCAATTGAGACTACCAGGCCATAAAATAGTGATGATCATGATAAAATTGTTCCTGACTTAATGATTCTTAACAATATATCATGATTTTTTTAAGCAATATGTTTCTTGTTAATGTACCAAGAGGACATATGTGCTGGTCATATAGAGGCATATGTGATGGTCAAATAGAGGCAACACATGTAGGGTATCCCTGACTGTTAGAAGACAAAAGATTCCATCAGAGATTTATTGGGCCTGTTTGACTAAGCATAAGGGGTTAAACTACTGCCATGAAAATTATGTAACAGAATACTCTCATAAAGATAAGACACGATAATCATGACCCTACAGCTCCTCTACATTGAGATAGCATCCACAGTAAAAAATACTTTACAAACAGCACCTGACAATTCTTTAAAATCCTACAATAATTTTGAAAAAAAATGATATCTATGAAATGCTTTTGAAGTAAATGATATGACAAAATTTTCTCCCAATTCATTTACACAATCTAGGGATGGGCAATCTGACCCAGTGACATCAAGGTTCAAAATGTCACCGATACTTACAAAGAACAGTGACAAATAACTGTTGATATTTCATTTCACGGCATGATGGTCGAGAAAACACTGGCTTCAGTATAAACTTATGCCTTTCACACACAATTTCACATATCAGGATAGAAAATTCAGTAAGGGTATCTTAGAGTGGACTAGTTATATTTAATTGTAACTGTGATATTTTAACTGATTGTAACAGGGTTTCAAACTCAACCAAGCACAAATTTATCAGACCAACTAGAGAAGAACTTAAGGTTATAGTGAAGCTGTGGGAATTTCAGTAACCACAAAATGCCCAAGCCTTTGTATCAACCAACTCCATTTGCAAAATTGCCCTCTCTAACCCCTTGCTTTTTTTTTTCTCTGACTGGTAATTACTCAACAGTTTCAAGCACTATAAATTATTCTTGGTCTTATTTCTTTCAAAATTTTTCTTGGGAAGAGGAGGGGGCACAGATGGGGCTTACTAAATGCTTTCTAAGAAGTAGATTATTTATAAATTTTTGAATAGTTCATCTATTAAAATCACTATCAAGTATAAAAAAATTGTCATTGGAAATATGAATAATAAAATTTGTGCAAATAGCACAAGCAACTGCCATACTGGTCACACATTTAAGATGGGTTGAATACTGACCATGTAATTTAAAACCAGGTATTAATTTTAGGACACAGAACAGAATGAATAATATTTTAGCATAGTACAATGTATCAAAAGATAAGTGGATTTTTTATGAATAACTTATATGAATAAATAACATTCCAAAGCAAAGCAATTTTAATCCATCTCTTATTTATCAATATTATTTACCAGGTCCTTTTGAAAAGTAACCAACATTTTATTACTATTGTAACTTTGAAGACTGGACTAATCAAACTGGCCATGTATACACATATATCTAAAATCAAAATGTCAGCCTCTATGGTCTACTTAATACGACTAGTTGTATATCCCTATCTATAATAAGTTAAACAATAACCAATTCTTGTAATGAAAGTCCTTCATGAGCCAGTGTGGGCCACAAATACACCAATCTGCCCATAAGTTCAGGGTGGGGTTAAGATATGAGCTAAGTTCTAATCATAAACTTTTGAGGTGAGTGAGTAATCAGTTATAATATACAAGTCAACTTAAACGCCCTTGTTGTTTATCATACTCATTTCTTAATAGAATCACTTTGTATGCAGTATCTATGGTATTCAGACTGAACAAGCATGGAAAGTTGCAAGTTTCTTTTTTTTCAGCCTTGTTCAGTCTGTTTATCACACCAAAATATGGACAAATACATTTTAGATATCTTCTTCAGTAGCAAAACAAGAAGCAAATTAATTATTTCGGGGGGTCATTTTAGCTATTCTCATTTCTTTCCTACCCTAATCAATATATAGTTTATTCAAAGTCCCATTAAAATGGTTTGAACTCAGGCCAAGTAGTGGTGACTATTTAAGAAATAGAAAGTGTGTTTATTTTTTAAAAATAGTTTTGAATCTCATGGAGTGTACCTTTATTTTAAATGAATGCTGATAGCAAGAGGAAGTTAACTTGAAAATGTTATGTGCTACAGGTTACTTCCTTGTCACTGTGTTTTTTTTACTGAAGTTTTAGTATGGGTCCATGCAAAGAAACATCACTTCCAAGGGGAAATAAAACATTTGTACCCTTAAATTTCTTATGCCACTTACAAAGTTAGACTACTGTACAGAAATACCATAAGATAAACTATGCCTCTTTGTAACAGATTAGACAGATATTGATACAAAAACAAGTTAAAAGAAAATATACTAATTATTATATCTTGCAAAAAATAATAAATAAAAAATTGTAATAATGATAAAATAAAATAAGATAAAAAATACTGGTAATTTACAGCAATCGCTTGTTATATAATTTCGAATTCCCTTTGCCTTGTCTGCTCCTTGTGTAATCAAAGGACACTAGGGTCAGGTACAGATTGTATCTTTCACCACAAATTGTCCTCAGGTAATTTGAACATACCACAGAAATGGAATACTGGTGTTTGTTATCCAATTGGCAACCATGGGCATTATCAGTTACTTNCGGCGGAGCCGGCGGAGCCGGCAGAGCCAGCGGAGCCGGCGGAACGATCCGGACGGGACCGAAACCATGTGTACCGCCAGCGCTAACGCTGGTGGTACAATAAATAACATTCCAAAGCAAAGCAATTTTAATCCATCTCTTATTTATCAATATTATTTACCAGGTCCTTTTGAAAAGTAACCAACATTTTATTACTATTGTAACTTTGAAGACTGGACTAATCAAACTGGCCATGTATACACATATATCTAAAATCAAAATGTCAGCCTCTATGGTCTACTTAATACAACTAGTTATATATCCCTATCTATAATAAGTTAAACAATAACCGATTCTTGTAATGAAAGTCCTTCATGAGCCAGTGTGGGCCACAAATACACCAATCTGCCCATAAGTTCAGGGTGGGGTTAAGATATGAGCTAAGTTCTAATCATAAACTTTTGAGGTGAGTGAGTAATCAGTTACAATATATACGCAAGTCAACTTAAACGCCCTTGTTGTTTATCATACTCATTTCTTAATAGAATCACTTTGTATGCAGTATCTATGGTATTTAGACTAAGCAAGCATGGAAAGTTGCAAGTTTCTCTTTTTTCAGCCTTGTTGAGTGTCTTTATCACACCAAAATCTGGACAAATACATTTTAGATATCTTCTTCAGTAGCAAAACAAGAAGCAAATTAATTATTTCGGGGGGTCATTTTAGCTATTCTCATTTCTTTCCTACCCTAATCAATATATAGTTTATTCAAAGTCCCATTAAAATGGTTTGAACTCAGGCCAAGTAGTGGTGACTATTTAAGAAATAAAAAGTGTGTTTATTTTTTAAAAATAGTTTTGAATCTCATGGAGTGTACCTTTATTTTAAATGAATGCTGATAGCAAGAGGAAGTTAACTTGAAAATGTTATGTGCTACAGGTTACTTCCTTGTCACTGTGTTTTTTTTACTGAAGTTTTAGTATGGGTCCATGCAAAGAAACATCACTTCAAAGGGGAAATAAAACATTTGTACCCTTAAATTTCTTATGCCACTTACAAAGTTAGACTACTGTACAGAAATACCATAAGATAAACTATGCCTCTTTGTAACAGATTAGACAGATATTGATACAAAAACAAGTTAAAAGAAAATATACTAATTATTATATCTTGCAAAAAATAATAAATAAAAAATTGTAATAATGATAAAATAAAATAAGATAAAAAATACTGGTAATTTACAGCAATCGCTTGTTATATAATTTCGAATTCCCTTTGCCTTGTCTGCTCCTTGTGTAATCAAAGGACACTAGGGTCAGCTACAGATTGTATCTTTCACCGCAAATTGTCCTCAGGTAATTTGAACATACCACAGAAATGGAATACTGGTGTTTGTTATCCAATTGGCAACCATGGGCATTATCAGTTACTCATATTTCTACAAAATGTTCTATGTTCTTGTTATATTTTTTTATATATATGCATACAATTTTTAATATAAACACAGAATATCTGATCGACAATATAGAACTTTCCAGACTTAGACTACGTAGATCTTTATTACGATTCTTTGAACCTGTTTTTAACTGAGTAAAAAATTTCATAAGAGAACTTTAACGCAGGTTGGCTCTATGTACAACAGATCAGAAGCCCAAATCATGACAGGATCTTGTTTGTCTATAAAACATAAAACTTTTAGTCAACAGACAACCTACTACTGTTTCATACAATGCTCTAAACACTTGAGTGCACTTTGCCTTTGCTGTCAATAAACCATAAGTATTCATGGTACACAAAACTTTGGTTGATAAAAGGCACCCAAACTGCTTGAAATGATATTTCTATTATATAAGAAGCCTTGAGTTGCAGCCATTTGACCCCATTACAATAAATTTATGTCTTTGTATATATTTACAGAATATCATGGTGTATTAAGGACCACCACTTTTATGTGTTTAATGTTTAACAACAGTATCTGTGTTCAATAATGGAAAATTACCCTGGACCCATATACTCTTAACATGTGCTTCATTATAAATGGGATGTTGCTTCAAACTTGAGCAAGTGTTTGCACACGTATGTGTTCATCAAGGAGAAAAATCATAAATACACAAACGGACAATGGCACTGATAACAACTGTGTTGGATGTGAATTTGGATGATCATATTTTATATACTGCTTCTTGGCCAGGTACTATGCTATATCTCAAAAATAAACACAAACTATTCACTTATCAGATGTGTCAATAAAATGTATTGATATATGCCCAAAAATAAACAATCAAAATTTAAAGAAAGAATGCATCATAATATATTGCTTGCATGTTAATATATAGTTGAATGCATCCCTAGATTACAATCAGTTTGCTGCGCAACATGGATATACCTTCAATTATAAATCTAAATTTATATATCATTATAATTTGTTCATAACTTGAACTGTACATGATATTATGACTTCCTAAAATTATAACTTAAGCAATTGATGTGGGAGTATCACAACATGCATCTGCATAAATTGTATGCTAACATGAGTACTGCGGGTCATTTCAGCACTCTTACACAGTCACTATTGCAAGGCAAATGCAGCAGAGTTATGTCACTGTCAATGTATGGCAATCATTAACTTTTCTTCAAACAACTAATTAGCAGCTATTTTTCAGGGAAAGGAACATTTCAGGAACTGATGTTTCCAGGTGTTAAATTAGGTTCAAGCGTATAAGTAAATGAGACTGACTGGAGCATGACGCTGCACACCTCCTTTCTTGTTTTGTGACTCACCTTGTACACTTTTCCAAACGCCCCATCTCCCAGCTCTCCAACAATCTCCCACAGTTGGCTAGGATCCCTATCAGTTATTATATGTTCATTCTGTTTCGTTTTCTTCTTACTCTCCTTAGAGTTAAACAGCTTTTTTAAGCTGCTGAGAAACGACATCGTTGGTAGTGCCCCTGCAACTTTCTTTTGGCTTCCGTTATTTCGATGAAAACATCAACAAGTCCACAGTCGTGCAGAGCAAGTCGTTGATTACCCGTTTGCCATGAGGACGGTATTGATACAGAATTCAAACGTTCGTCTGATGTATTATATCTGTGCAATCCCTTTCTTATGCAAGGGTAAGAGTCAAATGTATTAAAATAAGGCCGAGTTGTCAATAAATACGTTGCAGCATGAAAAACATTGGCTTCCTGCGTCGGCCATCTTGAAATCAACCACGCCTGCTCACTGCGATCAGTGCAGTGCAGTGTGACGTCGACTTGTCGCAACTAATGCAATATCTTGTCACTGACACTGCTAAAAATCACATTTTCTCAGCAGATTTTAGAAGCGAACAGGGAACTGTGACGCCGCATTCGAGCTTGATTGTGCATTTTTCAAAGATTGAAAACTGAAGAGGCGAAAGGATTGTGATAGGACTACAGACTTTAGATTAGTTAATTTTTAACATGATAAATCTACCATTACTGTTATTTATTGCAGATCAAAGAAAAAGTTGTAGAAATATTAAATAATGCATGAATATAAAAAGAAAAAAATACTGTTAATTGAGTCAAAATGATATTTTGCACTGAACCAGAAATGGTAAATGGCCTTTTTTCCAGTTATATGAAAGCCTATAATTTATTTTTTTAATTGAGTTAACCATTGGTGACTCTAAATGGATTTCAAACTGAAAGCCTATTCAAACCAAAGAATTCAATTCAGTCGTTTTAAATTGTTAACATGATTTAGATGAAAATCTTAATGATAGTTCCTAACAATCTTCTGCATGTTAGACATATCATATCGTTCCATTAAATTTCTGAATTCGCGTGACAGGTCTGACTGGTGAGCAACGTTTTATGGAAAACACATATGTCTATACTTCTGAAATGGGTTGCAAATTTAAATCAATTTAATTTCCACAAATGGGGGGAATGGCTTATAGCGCGTTTTAGACTTGTACATTTTCAGGTATACATGTACGTGCTTGTATGCCCCATGCCCCCCCCCCCTCCCCTGGCTGGATAGCATTTTCTGCGAGAAGAGATGGCAAATTGCTTGGTTTTAAATTCGCTGTCATTTTTTGGAACCATTGCCCTACTGGAAGATACAAAAGGGGAGGGGGGAGCACCTGCCACCTACCCTTCCCCATCTGTTTCTCCTGAGGGAAAACTTTCAGTAAGTAAGTAAAAAAAAAAAAAAGAAAAAAACAACTTCCCATATCTGCCATTAAACGTTGCAATAGTACTGTAGTGTTACATCTATTATTTCAAGATGAAACAAAAAACAAACCAACAAACAAACAAACAAAAAAAAAAGAAGTTTCGCTGAAGTTGGCAGTCTCCCCTAATCTGCAAGTTAGCTGAAGGTCAAGGTCATATGTTACTCTATAATCTGAATGAAACCGAGACTGGTGCCGGCTTCTAATCGAAACAAGAAACAGTTTGGTAGAAAGTAAGTGTAAGGGAACAAGAACTGAATGATGCCTCAATTCGTTCCAGTGCAGCCAGGTGAGATTAAGTCGTAGTTCATGAACATCGTTGTCAGAGGGGGAGGGGGCGATTTGATTTGATGAGAATTTAAGTGAAAATGAGTTGAAAGATACCGCGGGTGTACTCAGTAGTCGCGAATTCTACATGTAGCCTACGTTTTCGAAATCTCTAGCGGCATAAAGTGATAAATCTGGCTTTTTTAAAAGTAAATCTTTGAAAAATTTGAAATTCATGCATTGCTATTATGGAGACGAAGTAACGAAGGTTTAGCCTACTTTGGTGGTTTTGCCGTGTGTCGTCTAATACTTTTAACTGTGTTCGCTTATAATGGAGGAAATTAAATTGAGGATTTTGTTAATGGCTAAAATATTACAAAAAAAGTTTAAAAACCTGGTGACACCATGAAATTAAGTAACCGCAAACTATTTACCAAATTATTTGAAATAAACATTTAAGACATTTTCTGAGATGTTAGACACTATACCCACTTCCTTACAAGTTGCAGATATTCTACTTTAATTAAAATGAACTAGATCAATAGTAGAATGTGAGATATGATGCTATGAGCAACAGTAACCAAGGTTTAAAATTAACCCGTTTATGTTTTTGTGTGAGAATGTATAAATCTTGTAACTATAATTTTTATTTTTTAAGTTGCTATACTGAAGTTCATTAAGTTCCACAAAAAATTCTTACTCTCACTTATAAAAAAATTAAATTGAACATATATTGAGAAGGAGTGTTTATCTGGAATTCGCCACTGGAAGTGCACATTCTTTCTTTTTCATAATGCTAATATGCCAAACAATAAGCTTAACAATGTAGATACAGTTTAAATATATTTGCTAAATATGTGAATGTGAAATGAATAGGCAAATTGAAGGTATTCATTGAATGTGCAATATAAGGAAAAATATTTGATTCCAAGTTTTTTCATAAGTATACCATTAGAACTTGATTTCCTAGCTATGGAGAGCAAGATAGGAGGAGGAAATGACAAAAATATATCTTTATCCCAGGTTCAGCTACATGTATAACCTGTACCATGTAACCCCATTAAATTACCTTTTTTACCACTTCTGTATAATTATCCAGTGTTCTTTATATTTCAGAATGTGGCCCAGTCTGCCTTCCTATCAAGACATTAGAAGACCTTAGTGTATGGCAAAAAGAAGATCACCAACACTATGTGTCTACTGTCCCATTCACTGGTCAACCACGTCCAGATCGTCCAAGGACACTTATCTGCCATGATATGGCTGGAGGCTATCTCCAGGACAGGTGTGCTGGCATTATGATTTTGTTTTATTCATTTAATGAATTATAGCATAGTACATAAACGTGATTGATGTTATTACCTTTAGTATTGCCTTTTTCTATTGGGGAATAGCTGAAAGTAAAGTAATATGGATTGACAATTGGTTAACTTAAAAAACTTTAACTGAAGCAACTTGTAAGATTAAGTGTATAACCAATGACTGAAAAATATATAACCAATACAGATTTTTTTCTTTGTCTTGTTTATGCAGGTTTGTTCAAGGCAGTGATGACTGCAATAGCTATAGGTTTTTCCACTGGCAGTCCATAGATACATTTGTCTACTTTAGCCATTACTTTATCACAATCCCTCCACCAGGCTGGACCAATGCTGCTCACAGGCATGGAGTGCCAATGCTAGGTACACAAAGAGTGTAAAAAAATGAAATCCATTGATATGGTGTTTAGGCAATTCTAGGTGGAGGTGGGGGAGCCTTACCCAAATATTCTAAAATCAATTTATCCAACACTCCTGCTATTCCAAAAATTGAGAAAAGTTCATACTGTGAGTCTCAAAGAAGCTTAGTGCATATTGCATCAAGATTTTTAAGGAATATGGTTAATAATTAATGATATTCGTTCATGGTAATTGTTAATTGCATTTTTATCCTAAAAAATTCTTGCAGATATTCATTTTTATGTTCAGAGATCAGCTCTTTGTATTTATCATAATTTTTTCAAGGATACAGTGTCTACACAATATGGTTTTCTTGTTCTATCCAGGTACTTTGATCACAGAATGGGATGACGGAGCCTCCAGGTGTAGGAGCTTCCTCAGTTCAGAGAAGGCATACATGGATTTAGTAAAGAGGATGGTGGAAATAGCTACATTTTGCAACTTTGATGGCTGGCTTGTCAATATTGAGAATGAGATTAAGGTTTGCTCAAATTTATTGTTAGTGTTTAAATGGGAATATGAAATGTTAGGTTATTGAGGTGAAATGTACAATATATATAAATAAAGACCTATTTCCACACCTTTTTATTTATGAGGTACTTGTATAAAGTTTTGCACCATTTCATCTAGTTTAAGTAGAAATGTACCTGATTATAGAGTCTGTGACCTTGCCCACTGGTTCAAGGCAAGTGACAAGTACATTTAGAGTCTGACATAAAACAGTAAAGTTGATTACTTGTAAGGTCTGAAAATATAAGCAGTTATTTTAGACTAGTTTTACCTTAACCACAGATTTCATCTGGGGAATAGTGACATGTCATTTTGATGTGCCCTAAAAGTTTTCTGAGGACTACAATTCTGAGTGATCAGTGGGTCAAAAGTAGAAGGTGCAGAGTGATCATACAAGTTGCTTAATTTCTAGAAAGATGAGGTGGGCCACCTGATTGAGTTTGTTCGACAGCTTACCAAAGCCATGCATGATGTCAATCCACACTCACAGGTTATTTGGTATGATAGTGTTATCACTAGTGGAAAGCTCAATTGGCAGGATGAGCTTAACGAGAACAACAGGTAGGATTTTTTTCCTTGTGATTTTTTAAAAAGTATTTTAAAATTTCTTGGTGTAGAAATTATGGATAGTAAATATATTCTGAGTTTTAATTTTATTTTAATTTTTTTAAACTTTAAAGTATCGCTTTTTGTTCATAGTTTTAGAATTGTTATATATAAAAAGCCCCTGAGGAAAACAAACCATGGGATAAGCCCATGGATATTGTGGTTTTTGCTGTCAGTCACTGTTGAAAATCATGAACATCAATGATTTTTTTTTCTTTAAATTTAAGTAGACTTCTTTTACAGAATGATAATTTAAATTCAAGTTAGGTCTTTCAGGGGCGGATCCAGAGCTATTTACTGACAGTCTTCCAAATTATCTTTGTTGATTCATCCTCCAATTTTGACCGTCTTCCAACAGAAAAAATTAGATACCCATCAATGTAAACTTGAAAATCTGACCGTCTTCCAGAAGACCCAGAAGACGGCCTAAATCCGCCCCTGTCTTTTATAGTGAAGCTTTATTAATGTATGCAAGGTAACTGTAACATGTTTTGCATTTCAGTGCTTTTTTTGATGTTTGTGACGGGATATTTCTCAACTATACTTGGACAGAAGAGAAGCTCAGGAATTCTTTTGCCAGAGCTGTTGCCAAGCAGAGGCCTCATGATGTGTATGTTGGTGTTGATGTGTTTGGCAGGAATTGTTTTGGAGGAGGAGGTTTCAATACCAAAGAGGTATTTTAAGATGATGGTTAATTTACTGAGACAAATAAGCACTCTACTGTGGTACTTATCAATTTAAAGGGTAGAAGTGTATGTAGTAGAATTTTAGTGTCTTTTATTTTTCTAATATTATTGAGATAATGAAATCTGTAGATAGTCTTATGATCTCTCTCTTTCTCTGTCTCTCATTTTTTTTCTTTCTTAACACAGAATCAATAATAAATTTATTAAAGTTTAAACACAGGGATCTCACAAACACTAGAAGACCTCAGACATAAAAATCACTTAAATGTCTGATTGAGTTTGGAAGTTGAATACATTCATGTATTGACTGTGTTGCATATGCATTGACACTTTTTGACTTATTTGCCATCTGCTGAAGTAACATTAAGTCAATAACATAAATTTATTTGCATCATTTGAATATTAGTGTGCAACTGAAATTTTGATTGTAAGTTATAACAATGAATTGTGTTCTCTTGTTTTCATATAACTTTTAATAAGCAGTTACTCTTATTTCTTTTCAGTATACTGAATTTTCATTTCCTTTCCTATTTTCAAGGCTGTCACTGTGGCCAGGAGACAAGGTCTGTCTGTTGCCATATTTGCTCAGGGTTGGGTCTATGAGAAACTGGGCAAGGAGGAGTTTACAGAAAATGAAAATAAGTTAGTATTTTATCACTTTTTCTATCTGTGATCTGATCCATCCACTATATTGATAAATGGCCAATTTGCAAGCCATCTTCAACAATACTGTACTCATTTTGCCTACTGTAGCTATTTCCATTCATAGACAAGTACTTGTAGAACATTTATGATTTTAACAATTTTTGACTGATATTGATTTTAAAATAAATTTACATGTGGAATGCATACTGAAAATATACAAGGATTTCCAAAAGCACATAAGTGCTGAAGATTTCTTTTTCCGTCTAAGAACTGGATGTAACAAAATTTTTATCCTCTAGGTTCTGGAGTTTCCTTCATGAACACTGCGCTGTCCATCCTGTTGTCAGAGACCTACCGTTTGCTACCTCATTCTGCCAGGGTTTTGGAAACAGTTTCTTTCAGTGGGGAGAGGTATGTACTATAATATTTTATTAAGTACATGTCCTTCTGTGTTTTGTCTTATTTATGGTTTGTGCTGGATTTCTTAACTCATAAAAACATTCTACTTGGGTGTGAAATATTTGTGAACCAATTTTTTATATTTTTTTTGTCCTTGTTTAAAGATGATATGACATTGTATATTTTTTTAGAAAAAAAATCCTTAGGTTATTATGTTAATTTATCCAAACACATTTTATGCTAATAGATCATCCATTGTTCTAGAGTTGATTTATACTGATATTCGTATATGATATATTTTGATGAGATAGAAAGCACAACCTTGTTATGTACCAAAAACATCTCTCCAACCATGTGACTTTTGTCATTTAGAAAATGTCCACCACACCGTGGCATAACCTCAGTCTACAGCGTCCCCAGCCCACATTCACCAATGATCAGTTTACTCAAGAACGGAAACAACAGCACATGAGCCTGTGTACGGATGCTGCCTACATTGGAGGGTCTTGCCTCAAGCTCACTGGCATGCTGCCTGCAGATGGGTCAGACATTATTTTCAGGTGTGTGTGTGTGTGTAACTGGTAACTCGTAATTCAGTGTAGAAATAGGTCCTGAAGCTGGGCAAGAATGACACAGAAAATGTGGAATGAAAGGATTAAGAATTTCATAACCTTTTTGTACGTTATTTTTTGCTTTTATTTCTTTTAAGTAAGGTTAGCCTCACTGTACTTTAGTTGCACATACTTTTTAAAATTCCAAACTTATTTCAATGGGTAGCTTTGCTGGGTTTTTGAGAATTCATGATAGATTTGATCTTGGACATGTTTCAAGTGGAATTTATTCTTGGTTGATGATAATATCTGCATGCCTGGAAATGGTCATTTGTGGACTTAAAAGTTGTAAACTACTTTCCATTCACTTTATTACATAATAGTATCGTTTTGATTGGTATTGTTGCATATTGATAAAACAGTACAGCCAGGGGGGGATTCGGGGGGTTCGAAAGAACCACCCTTTTTGCTGGGAAAAGGTTCACTCTGGGTAAAATTTGACCTATGTACTGGGGATTTTATGGTAAATAAGAAAACTAAACCCCACCTCTGAAATTGCTGGCTACGGGCCTGCAGTATTACAATAACTTATTAAGACAATAGCTGAGAAATTATTATAAAATTTTCTGATAATACTCTTGCAGATTATTTGCTGCAGAAGTTTCCATTGAAAGCAGTCTGGTGATAACTTATACAGTGAAGGCTATCCCAGGTATGTCCACCAATGTATTCCTCAGGTTGACAGTTTTGAAGGATGGTAAAACAAAGCATGTTAACTTTGGGAATAAGAAGGAAGAATCAGTGAATATATCACTAGGAGAAGGAGACCAAAGTGCTGGAAATGCTAGTGAGGTGTCTGACATGGTCAATAAAGAAAGTCTGCAGGGGGAAGAATTACCAAATTGGCACAGAATGGCTCAGTCACAGAACCAGTGTGGATGGGAGACAAGGTGAGGGTGTGGGACATTTGTAAAACTTTGTCTTGGTCATAATTTGTAATGATCCAATAAAAGAATTAGAAAAAAGTAGCAATAATGTAAAAGTTAAGAAAGAACTTCTCTTCTGAAAAGTCACATTATTTTGGCTATTTTGTTGCTGTTAGTAGAAAAAGATTGAAGCACTTATTGACATAAAATCTCTTCAGATTAGAAGAGCAGCAAAAGATTTAAAGTCTCAATATTTACTCATGGCAGCTGAGAGTCACGTAGCATGATGTTATAGATATAACAGAGTTTAGTGCATGATCTTTAAATATATTGAATTTAAGGGTTTTCAGACTTGAAGAGTCAGAGCTGTTTAGTGGTGGAGTTATAACTGAGATATCTCTTGGGATGTGTGCAAAACAATCTTCTGCGCTACCAACAGAAGCAGGCATCTTTCTGGGACAGATACAGGTAACTGTAGTTATCATATTACATAGTTATGATCTATAGAGCCACAGTGAATGAATTGCTAGTGTGAAACAGTCAGTGTATCAGGTTTTACTGCAAGTGTCAGTACTTTTCTTCTATGCCCAAGTTTACCTTACTCAGCCATTCAAAACACTTTTGCAAACGTGTTGGGTAATTTTTCAAAATGTTTAAAATGCACTGCCATAGCAGATTTCTAAAAATCTCCTTTCAGGAATTGAATTTGGTGGTTTTCTTTTAAGCAATGGTGAAATCTTTTTTTGTGGTGTTTGTCAGACATGGTTATCAGTCTCAAATTTTTCTCCATTTTGAAATTCATATAATTTATACACCCCTATTGTTTTAAGTTTGCAAAACATAATTTCAGTTTAAATAGTGTTTTTAACACTGCTGTGCTCTAGTGTTCTGACTCAAAGTAGTACAAATATTGGTATTTGGTATTATTAAATATATCTATAGCAATGTATGGATTTTTTTCTCTTTTCTTAGCAAAAAAAATACTAAAAATAATAATAATAATGCTATTTTTTTCATTTAACCAGAAGGCCAGAAACATAGCTTAAGTAAATTAATGGAATCATATACATTAATTTACCAGCTCTCTTTTGTAAATTCAACAATTGTTGTTCATCTCATTTTCAGATATTACAGCAGAAAGATTGTGATGAGATAGAAAGCCCAACCTTGTTACATACCAAAAACATCTCTCTCCAGCCATTCCATTCAAACCAGAGCCAGCCAAAGAAGTTGAAGTCCATTCCAGACGATACTCAGCTTCTGACTGTGAAGTTAGACTGGAATAACCATAAGTTGAACGTAGAGTACAGCTTTGTGTGGTTGGTTTACACAGAATATCCAACATTAAGGAAAAATTACTTTTTGCTGGGACAAACTCCTGGTCACACATTTATGATTGATCAGCTACCCATTTCAAATGAAATCTGTGATAAATTTTATTTCATTGTTCAACACATGAGAAAGGGTGAAATTTTTCAGCCCCTTGCTAGTGCAAAGGAACCTGAAAAACATGAAGTCACATCTCTCACATAATAGGTGCATGACTGCTCTTGGGTATCAGGACAATTCCCCCCCGGACTATTCCCCCAGGACAATTCCCCCCCCGGACGATTCCCCCCCGAAGAATATATATATTTATATACAAATATAAAGTAAAGAATACAACGTTCAAAGTTCTTTTCATCCATTTTCTGAATATTTCTTAGTGTGATGATGCAAATCAAGGATAGATAATATTAATTTTATTAAACAATTTATTTTCATGGAGTACAAGTACATGAAATTTTCGAGATAGAAGTACAGAACATTTTATTAAAAATCTGATCAAAGAATATATATCTCCAGGTAAAGGAGGGGTAAACAGATGATCTCACTCATCCAGGTAGCCCTTTGATGAATTAACTGTTACTTTTAATTGCTTTATTTCTCCCCCCCCCCC